ATGTATATGCACAGTTTAAACAAGATTAATATAAAGTATCAAATCAACTGTCTTTAAATGTTCATCTTTTAAATTATTTATGAAATATATATATATATATATATATATATATATATATATATATATATATATATATATATATATATATATGTAACTTATAATCTATTATATTCCTTCAATTAAATAAAATATTGATCACATATAATAGTTATATTGTAGTGCTAAATACATGGTGCCGTCATATAATACTTAATGTCATAATTATTTTTAAATAATTTAGCCAACATATAATAATTAATGTCATAATGCCATGATAATTTTTTAAATAATTTCACATGATAAAATGGATCAACTTGGTGTCAAATATCGCTCGATAAATATATCGCAGTGGAGAAATAAAGCCTCGGCGACTACGGTCGGCTTTATTACCTGTTAAAGGGGGCATTCATATTTGATTTTAACAGTGTTATCTTATTAACCATTAGGAACAATAATTATAGAATATTTATTCATAGATTTAGAAACAAGGGTTGACATAAACATTTATGTTTGTAGTAGATATAAATGTTTTATGTATTAATAATATATTGGGCTTATTTTAGTGGTATAGATGCAGATCCATTTATTTAAAATGCATCCCGCTTTAAGGATAATAAAAACAAGTAAGAATGATAATAGCTGAGTTGACATGTAACGTGGACAAAATAAAACCCTACCTATGGACTAACTATTAGTTTCTCAAGACATATTTATGACCATTAGATCCATCGTTTTCTTTTAAAAAATAGAACCCATATACCAACCTCCACCATGGCCCCGTACATGGGCGCTTACTCATTCATCCACCCCACTGCCCACACCCTCAAACACACCATACCTCTCTTTTCCTCCTATTCTCATGCTACATTACTTAGAAATCATAATTTATTATTAAAAAAATAGAGAACAGTATCATCCAAAGCATATAGTGAATTTTTGATCGACTTATTTTTGTTATATTATTTATAACTAAAGTTAAAGACACATATTCACAATATTCAAACTTTTGAAATAAATATGTTTGATTTTGGTTTATATTCTTACACTTTTGCGTACATTCAAACAATTATAAAAAAATTATGAAAAACATTTAAATGTTCATATTTTAAATTATTTATGAAATATATATCTAACTTATAATCTATTGTATTCCTTTATTTAAATAAAATATTAATCACATATAAAAGTTATATTGTAGTGCTAAATACATGGTGCCGACATATGACACTTAATGCCATCATATAATAATTGATGACATGAAATTTTTTTAAATAATTTCACATGATAAAAAGGATCAACTTGGTGTCAAATATCGCTTGACAAATATATTACACTAATTCAAATCTAGATGCAGGGAGAATCATATGATCATCGGTTTTACTTAAATTATTTAGGAAAAAGCAGGAAAATAAAGTCTCCAATTCCTCACCGTCCCCATAACATGCACACAACACCAAACGCCCCCTTCCCCTTTAGCTTAGGCTCTTCGCACTCCACTCCTCCCTATTCCTACTTTTTAGCTATCAAATTTAAAGACAAACTATGAATAATATTGAAAAACCCATATTTTAAGCTATACATCTAATTTCTAATCTAATTGTTTCTCTATTAAATAATTAAACAACAATTCATGATCCATTATGCATTTTGAACATAAAATAAGAGTTGTATAAAGTAAATTAGAAAAATAGAAAAATTCCAATAGGGATTGAATTAAATTAATTGGGCAGAATATAATAAATTTGTAAAAAATAGTTATTACTTTTCACAAATTGGAACAACCATTATATGTTCCATCGCCATAACCATGTTTAAGTACTTAGATGTTAATGACCATCCATCTATCTTATATCATGTCATTATGAGTTTTTCAACGAATTATTACATATATAAAACATATAGTTGGTTAAAAAGTTATCTATATGCTACTATTAACTTTAAGTTTAGGACTCATGTTGACTAGGTATGTTTTTAGAAAAAACACTAAAGATCACATATATTATAGGGAAGCGTGCTGTACAATATGTATATCTCCTATGTATTTATTGATGCTTTTTTTCTAGAAAATGAAGAATTACTGATAATTGCAGCTTATAGTAGTGAATTAAATATTATATAGTTTAAACCTTACAGATATCTTGTAAAAAAATATCTGAGCAATGTAGATGAAGAAAATTTATAAGAAATTGTACTTTTTCAAGAGTGGTGTGTCACCCGGTCGATATTACACCTTACAAAAGCGTATCTTATATGCCCGCGCGAATGCGCGGGCTACCTTTCTAGTTATATTAATAATGAAAGAGATGAAACATATAAAGACGTTATAGTATATTTGTTTCTCTTCTTTCCTCCATCTTTATCTTTTACATTTTCTCGCTATCTCTAGTGACATTTTTCTACCCTACTATTAAGCATTTGAGAAAAATGATTGTTGGTCGGAATATCTCTACTATTATAAAAATTGAAGATGTTTTTGCCGGTAATTTGGTACGTCATCTGTGTATGAGTCGATTTTTAAGTTCGTTCGCTTTTGAAAATACGTATATGTATTTGAGTCAGTTTTTAAATTCGTTCACTTTTGGAAATACAAAAGGAGTTCTATAAGAGATCTTTTTAAAAAACATCGCATGCTAACTTGAGACGATCAGACTCCTAACTGTAACTCATGATTTTGTAAAAAAAAGTATATATCCAAGCAAATTCCCACAATAAATTTCACCTTAACTATAGCTCGTGCAGATTAAGCTGACGTACGTGCGTATTACGTCCATCGATGTAGCTTTTTTAACAGAAGAAACAGCATGCGTCAGCACATCGACAGGTAACAGAGTCGCAAAACAGCTGAACACAACTCTTAATTAACTAGTGTCGGCAGCAGGTTAATTTGGTTACTGTATCTGACTGTACATATACTGTATTACTGGAGGCACACGACTCAAACATAAACGGTGAACTAGCTAGTAGAAGTTCTCTCATGGATGATGGAATCATATGCATGGAACGATTAGTTTGGCAGTTCACTAGCAGGATCTGTGCTAAGTTCCCGAGAACCAAAAACTCCTGGGAAACAGGCTAAAGCGCACATGTAACATGTTAATTTTACCTGGGTAAGGATGGATCGATATGTGTTGTGGATAGCAGATAGCTAGCTAGGTTTCAAAATCCACGCATACCCAGCCCAATGATCAAAATATGTATATACTCCTACATGTAAATTAACCTTTTTCCGTGTGTATACAAAATATAGTGGTCTTTCAAATACGAAATACAATTTAATGGGCCGGAAATTGCTAAAAATCCTACACAAGTTTTTTTAAAAAGAACTTTCAAATATAATTACACTATATTTATACTACAAATATATACATTTGAAATTAAGCTTTAAAAAAAACTTGTGACAATTTTTTAAATGTTTCACCTCTCTAATAGAACGTAGGGAGACATATACAGTAGCAAAAGCAAGAATCTCAAAGAGAAATCAAGTAATACTAGGCATGCCACAAGCATCCATGATGACTGAGAAACCTAACACCGTCGGTTAACCTACCCAATTTAGGAACTGCTACGAAGAGTAAACATACGTGTTACCTATTCCAAGGAGGCAAAAAAATAATCAGAAAAAGGAGAGAATCCCTACGGTTTCAGCTGTTATCAACTAATGATACGTTACTTCTTCAACCATGAAGGTGGGATACTGGGATTCATATTTGCGATGATTTACATACATTTTTTAAAACTCTTTTTAAAAGCTTGCTAAAATTCAACAATTAAAGGAGAGATGGAGTGGAGCAGTCAAGTTGAGTCAGGTCGTCATAAATTAAGGTAAAAACGTTGTCTGTCATCACTCTCATGCATGCTAATAAACATGATGGAAAAAAGTACCTCATTTAGTTATAAATATGAGCTACTCCCTCCATTCCAAATTGATCTACATATTTCATAGATACACCAAAACTAAGAAAAGCTAATAACTCTCTCATACTATATTTACTCTAGCAACAAACTCGATGCATGCACCATCACACTATTTCCGAGCCAATAGCAAATCAAGATATTGCATGTGGGTTATAAATACTTATATGCATGATGCATGCATCAATGTCTATTTACTCCAATGCACAAATAACGAATAGACTTAATAAATGAACACAAATATGTAGATCATTTAGGAATAACTTAAAAAAACTATATGTAGATTAATTTGAAATTGAGGGAGTATGTACGTTACTAGGAGCGCGAAGGTAAAAGGATGACTAATCAGTGATTGAATTAGATGGATAATAAGTATCTTAATTCTTATCTAATGGTTGCTATCTAATTGGTAGTCCTAATTAATGTGATCTAATGACAAAAATTGTTAATGATGTGTCTTTTTCTATATGTCTTTCTTTAAATGTCCTTTAGTGAATACTACTTGTATAAAAAATATATACTCCCTACGTCCCTAAATATTTGACGCCGTTGACTTTTTTTAAACATGTTTGACCGTTCGTGTTATTGAAAAACTTTTGTGAAATATATAAAACTATATGTATACATAAAAATATATTTAACAATGAATTAAATGATAGGAACAAAATTAATAATTACTTTTTTTAATAAGATGAACGGTCAAACATGTTAAAAAAGTCAACGCCATCAAATATTTAGGGACGGAGGGAGTATATATTAGACCTAATATTTTTTAGTTTTTTAACTATACAGAGGTACGCAGGCGCGGGATTCTAACTAGCTAGCTAGCTAGTATTAACGTCATCGTTGATTCGCCCCCAAGGTTGAATTAAACTAGTCGACGATGGAGCTCTATAAATGGCAGTCCCGCTTCCACGAGCTATTCATGCACTGCTCGATCGATCAACTGATTTGTGAAGAAGGAACAACACAAGATCTAGACGTACTAAGCTAGTACTCTAGCTCGCTAGCTAGCAAGTATAGCAACGACATATTCCATACGAATGGAGATGGGGAAGTCATTAGTAGTGGCGCTGGCTGTGGTGGTGGCAGCCATGGCGGTGGTGAAGGCAGACGACGTCCCGATCACGGACAAGGACCTGGAGTCGGAGGAGAGCATGTGGAGCCTCTACCAGAGGTGGCGCCACGTGTACGGCGCCGCCTCGTCGTCGCCGCGGGACCTCGCCGACAAGGGGAGTAGGTTCGAGGTGTTCAAGAAGAACGCCAGGTACATCCATGACTTTAACAGGAAGAAAGGCATGTCCTACAAACTCGGCCTCAACAAGTTCGCCGACTTGACGTTGGAGGAGTTCACCGCCAAGTACACCGGCGCCAATCCCGGACCCATCACCGGCCTCAAGAACGGCACCGGCTCGCCGCCGCTAGCGGCTGTTGCCGGCGACGCACCCCCGGCGTGGGACTGGAGAGAACATGGCGCTGTCACTCGTGTCAAGGACCAAGGGCCATGCGGTACGTACCTACGTACTATACATGATTACAATTAATCTTAATACTCCCTCCGTTCCTAAATGTTTGACGCCGTTGACTTTTTTAAACATATTTAACCGTTCGTCTTATTTAAAAAATTTAAATAATTATTAATTCTTTTCCTACCATTTGATTCATTGCTAAATATACTAATACTAAAGTTTTTGAATAATATTCATAAAAAATCAAATGTGTCAAACATTTAGGGACGGGGGAGTACAATTATACAAATACACACATGTTATTTATGCATATATACATATATAGGTAGCTGCTGGGCGTTCTCCGTGGTAGAGGCTGTAGAGGGGATCAACGCGATCATGACAGGGAACCTCCTGACGCTGTCGGAGCAGCAGGTTCTCGATTGCTCCGGCGCCGGCGACTGCTCCGGCGGATACACGTCCTATGCATTCGACTACGCCGTCAGCAACGGGATAACTTTGGACCAGTGCTTCAGTCCCCCAACGACGGGGGAGAACTACTTCTACTACCCCGCCTACGAGGCCGTGCAGGAGCCCTGCAGATTTGATCCTGTATGTAATTCATTAATTTAATTGTCTCAACATATTATATATATGATGAATGGACTGATAATACAGTTTGTGTATATATCGTACGCATGCGCAGAACAAGGCTCCAATTGTGAAGATCGACAGCTACTCCTTCGTGGATCCCAACGACGAGGAAGCTCTCAAGCAGGCAGTGTACTCACAAGGGCCCGTATCCGTCCTCATCGAAGCTAGCTACGAATTCATGATCTACCAAGGGGTAGGCTATACTGCTGTTTGTTTACAGTACTTCTCCCTCTATATTTTAATGTATGACGCCGTTGATTTTTTAACCAACGTTTGATCACTCGTCTTATTCGAAATTTTTATGCAAATATAAAAATACTTATGTCATGCTTAAAGAACATCTGATGATAATTACATAAATTTTTTGAATAAAACGAAAGGTGAAACGTTTATCAAAAAGTCAACGGCGTCATACATTAAAATACTTGAAGTACTAATTAATTTTCTCCCAAATATATATATATATATATATATATATATATATATATATATATATATATATATATATATATATAACAATTTCTAGTTACTCCTCATATATAAGCCAAAAAAATATATATTATAAGTTGAAACGGAGGGATATATATACTAACTACTAAATTATTGCACATTGATACATATCGTACTACATATATTAACTATAATTATTTATTTAATTAGGGTGTGTTTAGTGGGCCATGCGGAACTGAGTTGAACCACGCGGTGTTGGTGGTGGGTTACGACGAGACGGAGGACGGCACACCCTACTGGATAGTCAAGAACTCGTGGGGCGCAGGATGGGGCGAGAGCGGCTACATCCGCATGATCCGCAACATCCCAGCTCCGGAGGGTATATGCGGCATCGCCATGTACCCGATCTACCCTATCAAGAGCTGCCCCTGCCCCATCACCGCCGCTTCTGCTGCTGCTTAAATCATCCATGATCTGTCGTCGTACGTCTTCCAACATATATACCGTAAATGTTATAGCACGCGTGCATAAAATTATCTGTGGAAATAAATAAATATGCACGCGTCGCGTGGATATATAATTACTACTACTACGTACGTGTAGACGAAATAATATGAGTGTGCATGTGTACTTGTGTGTACCTATGTGATTGAATAAAATAGAGCTCTGCTCCCGTATATACGCATGCATGTGTATGTAGATATGCTTGCTTGACAAGCGGCAATTAATATAAGAGCTCTGCTAGTTAAAGAATTACATATGTTCTTTTATGTTCTATTTAATTTCGGATCGGACTACGTACGAGCTGTATTTATATTAGCCAGAACTGTGGCACAGTGATGCAAAACTACTTAAATTGTAAGTATTTTAACACCTACATCCTTCGTCTAAAAAAATCAACTTCTAATTATAAATCATGGTCAGAAATTAGTCTTGTTATATGAAGGTTCACTACGTTAGGTTGGATCACCTCTAACTAGCTCAAACCCTCCCCTCTGATGGGTTCGGCCCTGATAAAAAATGAGTGGTTAGTGATAATCCTACTCACCTTACTCACCTCTACCAACTCGAGGCCCGTTAGAGGAGAATGTCGCCTCTAACGGATCGCAACAAAGTCGCCCGTTGGAGGTGACTGTCACCTCGGACGGCTAGATAGGGATACGAAAGAACCCATAAACCTTACTCATTGCCAGAATTCCAGCCCACCAATATGGACAGGCCAGTATCTAGGAGTTACTAGCTAGGCCTAAATGGGTAAGGTAACCCAAAGTACTGAAGCAACAAATATAGGCTAAATTATGCGCACGCATATCAGTACCGAAGGTCCTTTTGCATTATTAGCTTGTAGGAAAGCTTGTACAGTATGTACGTTCATTACTACTCCCTCCGTCCCAAAAAGAAGCAACCTAGGAGGGGATGTGACCCTTCCCAGAATAATGTATGTGGATATAGGAGGGGTCACATCCCTAGACCTAGGAGGGGTCACATCCCTTCCTAGGTCGATTCTTTTTGGGACGGAGGGAGTACTGCTTCAGCAAACGATCTAGCTGGTACGGTGTGAAACGTTTTTTGGGAACGGGGATGAAGTAAGCTCGACGCGCGATATCCAACGTACCATGCGGGTAGTTCTATTATTACACCCATATACGGCAATTTTACTAGTAAAAAGTTAAGAAATATATGTCGATCGAAGGAATAATTAACAACAAGAGCTTTATTTATTTATCAAGCACACCAACGTACACACGCATACACTGCTATATCGTTTTATTCAAACTCCATACACACTCGGGTAATGTATACATGTCTTTATCCACATGTGCGCGTGCTGAATATGTACCTTTATTTATTTACTTATGCACATGTGTGTAATGTATATATAGTTGACGATCTATTAATAAGTTTCGTAGTACGTACTATGCATGTGTATAGTGTATGTGCGTGTAGTTGTACGTACATGTATAGCTCAGTTATATATGTATATTGCATGGTAGGTTGGCTAGTAGGATGCGATAGCAGTTGGGGTTTTTGGGGGGCAGGGACACTTCTTTATAGGATATGTGGCGTGCGTGGCGATGCCACATAGGCCATCTGGGGTTCCCACGTCACGTTTCATGCGGATGTAGCCGCTCTCGGCCCAGTTTGCGCCCCATGAATTCTTGACGATCCAGAATTTTGTCTCGTAGTCACACCATACCCCACTACCAGCACAGCATGGTTCAACGGTGGTGGCGTTTGGCAAGGCCCAGTGAACACGCCCTGCATCCATGCATGCACAGTGATAAGTTCATTTTCAGCATTTTAATTAAATTTCACTCGCGAATTGAATTAGGTGAATATTATTGGTGAGAGAGATAATCGCTGACCCCTTGGTAGAACTGCCACCCGCTGGCGTCGAGTGCCACAGAGATGGGCTGCTGGTAGACTTTGAGCAGCAGGGCGGCCTCGCTTTTGTTCACCCACTTTACATCGTCCACCGTGATGATGGGTTGTTTGCCTGCCACCGTTCTGCACGGATGCTTCGTGGCATCGTAGGCCGGGTAGTACGGTTCCTTCCCGCACCGATCCAGGGTGATCCCGTTCTTGACGATGTACTGCTGCGCCTGGTCGGGCCAACCGCCGGAGCAGTCGCCGGCGCCGAAGCAGTCGAGCACCTGCTGTTCCGACAGCGTCAGCAGGTTCCCTGTCATGATCGCGTTTATCCCCTCCACCGCGCCCACCGCCGAGAACGCCCAGCAGCTCCCTTTGTAATTAATTAGTTAATCCCATTCATTAATTTTATCAAACAATTTATTAGCATGTTTTCGTAATTAAGTGAATTATTAAACATGTTATACGTACCGCAACCGTCTTGGTCCTTGACATCAGTCACAGCACCATGCTGCCTCCAATCCCACGTCGCCGGAGGGGACACGTCGCCGACCAGCAGCTGCTCCTCCTCGATCGGCCTCGCTTGCAGCGCCGGCGCCGGAGACGCCGGTGTCGTCTACCTTGGCGCCGGTGTATTTGGCCATGAACTCCTCGGAAGTCATGTCGGCGAACTTGTTGAGGCCGAGCCAGTAGGACATGCCCTTCCTCTTGTTGAATTCGTGGATGTACCTGGCGTTCTTCTTGAACACCTCGAACCTGCTAACCTTTTCGGCGAGGTCCCCCCACTACGCCGGACCAGGTCATCTCTGACGGGCCCAAACCCTCACCTTTGACGGGTTTGGTCTTGGTCAGTGATTAGTGGTCACTGATGACAAAATCACCTGTGACGGATGAAACACCCGTCACAGATAACCCATCTCTGACCGGTATATAAGTCATCTCTGACAGGTTAAAACTTGTCACCCGTCACAGATGAGTCATTAGTGACGTGTCGTAACTACCTGACCGTCACTGATGACAAAGCAAGAAATACAATTTTTGAATTTTAAACGCAACAAAAAACCTCAAAAAAATATTTTGAATTTTACTAGCCATCCTATACATGGTTACACATCACTACCTACAAATTCACAATTTTTCACGCAATATAACTTGTATGCTACAAGTGAGATTCGAACTCAAGACCTCAACCTCCATATAGAGCTCCCTTACCAACTCACCTACTCAACACATATTGACTACTAACCCAATGTTATTATTTTGTCTATGCTTGTCTGAATCATTTAACATATATTTAACACCCTAAATGACTTCAAATGAAAATATTATCAACTAAATAGTTATAGATCTCATCGTGTTTTATAACTTTTACATAGAAAATATCTTCATCCGATGTTGTTTGAAGAATTCAAAATTTTCAAAATATATCTCACTTTATAACATGTAAATTTTGTGAAATGAAAATATTTTCAATTATAATGTTGTAGATCTGATTGAGTTCTATGACTTTGATACGGGGCATGTATCCATCCATGTCATTTGAAAAAAAACTCAAAATTTTGTTTTTAAAAGTAGATCTGATCACTTGTAATGCATGTTCGGGGATGTAAACGATCTCTAATAGAAATGTTGTTAGTTATAAAGTTGTGGATATCATTGAGAGCTACAACTTTTATATAGGACATGTTTCAATCCGAGGTTTTTTGCAAAATTTAAAAATTTGAATTTTCACTCATCACTGACGGGTCATAACTACCACCCGTCAGAGATAACGTTATCTGTGACGTGTGTTAGTTAAAGACCCGTCAGAGATGAGTGGTCTCTTTTGTGATGGTTCATAATACTACACCCGTCACAGATGACATGTCATGTGTGACGAGCCATGGTTGTGACCCGTCACAGACGATCTGTGACGGGTTACAAGTGCAAGCCGTCACAGATGACTTCACATCTGTGACGGGTCCTCCCTGGTAGAGGATATTTTTTCGGCCCGTCAGAGATGACTCATTTTTGACAAGTTGCGTTGGCCCGTCACAGATGACCCGTCACTGAAGCCCGGATCTGTAGTAGTGCCCGACGACGACGACGACGCATACACGCTGCGCCATCTCTCGTACAGGCTCCACATGCTCTCCTCCGACTCCAGGTCCTTGTCCGTGAACGGGACGTCGTGAGCCGACGCCGCCACCGCCATGGCTGCAGCTGCCACCACCACACCCAGCACCACCACCAATGATTTCCTCATCTCTCCGTGCATACAGTATATGACTATGCTGGATTGCTGATGCTGCTAGCTAGCTATAGTAGTCGATTGACTTCTCAGATCAGTCGATCGAGCATTGCATGAATATCTTGTGGAAGGGGTGCATGCCATTTATAGAGCTCCATCGTCGACTAATTTAATCAAAACCATGGGCGAATTGACGACAACGTACGACTATTTAATATTATATACTCAATTTTCTCTTTCAGATTATTCTCACTGGGATTCCTATCTTTAGGAGTTAGGATTAGGATTTAGAAGCTAGAGCTAGAGTTAGGATTAGGAGACAGGAGTACCGTTTGAGAGGTGAAAGATTTAAGAGTAAATTTTTCACATAACTTCATCTATTATGGTCAAAATTCGTCAAAAACATAAGGTTTTGCCACGTGCCATATTCCCTTAGGTATTGTGGCCATAAAGTTTCACAAAACCATATGCTAGTACTATTTATTATTTTGACTTTACTTTATTAAAATTTTAAGTTCTACAATCACATCTTAAATTTATGGGTTCTTTATATAAATGATGCATCAATATAAGTAATGTTTTTTAAAAAATATATAGGAGTGTGTTAAATTGGTTAATGATGTTGTTTTGTGAAACTCTAGTACCATAATACATTGGATTATGTATCATGTGTTAAAATTTCAGTGGTTTCGTGTAACTTGGAACATAATAGATAGGATTTTATTAAATTTATTCAAGATTTAAATCAAATCATCCAACTGAACACGCATGCACCGATCAGAATGAACATGACTGTTATATTTCAACATAACACTAAATACATATACCTCACACCTTATCATAATTTTGACAGCCCAATAACCAAATTTCTTACTAGTTAGGTTAAAAAAATTTTCAAAAATATACATATATACATATTTGATGTATATATATATATATGTATGTATATATGTATGTATATATGTATTATGTATATATGTATTATGTATACATGTATATTTCAAAAATATACATATATACCTTTACATTTCGTCCGTCTTATTTGAAAATTTTTTGAAAAAATTTAAAACCATAAGACACGTATAAAGTACTATTCATGTTTTATCATCTCATAAGAATAAAAATACTAATTATTAAAAAAGTTAAATAAGACAGACAATTAAAGTTGGGCACGAAAATTATGGTTGCACTTAAAATGGAACGAAGGGAGCAGCATTAACTATATTTAGTGAGGATGAACTTTATAGATATATAGAATGCCTCGTCGATAGGTTAAATCTACATTCATCTTTGATTTGGATTTTCTTTTTAGTCTAGATAGATACTCACTTCTTCTCATATTGATCATCATATAAGAAAATGCACCAAGACTAAGAGCAAGTATAATAGTGAGCTATAAGCCTACTATAAGCTTATGTGGAGGAGAGAGATAACAAAAAATCATGGACGTTGGCTCTCAGAGCAAGTTTAATAGTATAGCCAACTACTAGCTCTAATTTATCTATAGCCAATCTAATAGCTCATTTATACAATAGTTACATACTACACTATTAATACCTGGTCCCACCTGTCATACACACTGTGTCTTGAAGTCCGTGCTACAGCTGGCTATAAATTTGTAGCCCACTACTTTTCTCTCTCCATGTTTAACTTCTTAAAATATGTTTGCAACCGGCTTATAGCATGCTATTGTACCTGCTCTCATGCAAGAGCTAGCTTAACACAAGCTCCTAAGTAAATACATTAAATGCATAGGTGAGAGATAGAGAGAGGAGAAGATAATTGTAGCCAACTTTATAGCTAATCTATTATATATATTGGCTTTAAGATGGGCTAATAGTAGGAAGTGAGCTCTACTATTATCCTTGCTCTAAGGACAGCACAGCCTAGTTAATTCTGGCATTAAAACCACATCGAACAATTAACAGTCGGTTTGGGTCTCATGCAAAGAGTGTCACGCCTACCGTCGGATGAAAGTGCATTGTGGCATGCAAACTCCTTTGATCCAGCGATTGCATGCAAACGCCTACACACATTAATTCCATGCAAGCATGCATACGTTACGAGGAGGCATCAGCGAGATTATCAATGGCACTAGCTCTATGCGACGATCAATATGACATTTTTAGTTTCTGCTAGTAGGATGGGAAGGAGGGAGTATTGTCTTTAACATTTTTTTCTGATCCGGTCTGATTTTGTATCAGTTTTGTCATATATGACGTGGTGTATAAATTAATGATGCATGAGAATTTGGTTGGATCAGTTTGTTTGCGCGTGCGTCGCATAGAACAGGAACCGATCGACGACCGACGGGCCGGCCTAGCGAGAGGTCGGAATCGCAACTACGCCAGCGCGGAGAATATGAGGACGATGCGGACACAGGCAAGCATGACACAACAAGCGACAGACGAAAATTTAAAGGTGATGATTGAAGAATTATTATTCATTTTTAAAGTAGGTTTGATTAGATTAGATAGGCTCAAACGTACTCTCTCCGTCTAAAAAAAGACAAACTCTGGTTTCCGTGCCCAACGTTTGACCGTTCGTCTTATTTGAAAAAATTATAAAAAAAATTAAAAAGACAAGTCACGCATAAAATATTAATTATGTTTTATCATCTAACAACAATAAAAATACGAATTATACAAAAAAATCATATAAGACGGACAGTCAAAGTTGAACACGGAAACTCAGGGTTTGTCTTTTTTTGGGACAGAGGGAGTACTACGTTAACGAGAAGTATACACACGTACGTAACTACCTGGGGTTAAGGATATAGCAGGCCAAACGGGCGGCCCGGCCCAGCACGACACGGCACGCCGACGGCACGGCCCACTAGGGCACGGCCCATTAGGCACGGCTCCTGTAGCGGGCCGTGCCGTGCCGGCCCACGTGCCAAGGCCACGGCCCAAGCACGGCCCAAGAAGGTGCTGGGCCGTGCCGGGCCGGCACGGCTACTGTAGTGGCACGTGGGCTGGTAGCCGGCCCACTAATACATGTGGCCCATAAAAATTGAAATTTGAGGGGAAAAAAAGAAAAAAGGCAGAAAAAACATAATATAAAGGAAAAAATGATAAATATAGGATAAATGTGAGGAAAATTTAGGAAATATATCATAAAATATATGGTACAAATATGATAAAATGTGGAAAAAAATAAAAAATATGAGAAATATATGGAAAAATTAGAAAATCGTAGGAAAAATAAATGGGCCGGTGGGCCGTGCCATGCCTGGGCCGTGCCGTGCCGGCACGCTACAGTAAACGTGCCGTGCCGTGCCAGCCCACGGGCTGAGGCATCGGCCCAAACACGGCACGGGATAACGGGCCGTGCCGGCACGGCCCACAGGCTGGCGTGCCGTGCCGGGCCTGGGCCGGCTACAGTACTGCCGTGCTCGGGCCGGCCCGGCTTGGCACGGCCCATTTGGCCAGGTATAGTTAAGGATCGATCGATCGATATGTGTTGCGTGTAGGTTTTAAAATCGATCGATGAAGGCATGAAGCATATGCATGCATGCAGCCAGCATGTGCCATTTTAAAACATGATGCGTTTGCACGTCGACAGGTAACAGAGGCGCCGCAAAACAGCTGGCCAAGTCAAGTTGAACTATTTTACTATCCTTAACAGGTAGTACGTCAGGTATCATATGTTCAATATCTCGATCGGTACCTCTCTCCAGTATAAATTTAATATATAGTTATAAATTTTTGCACTAAAATTTTTATGTTTTTTAAGAGCTATTAAATTTCTCTAATTAATTAGGGTATACTTCACTGTACTGTGTTAATAGAGTCACATGATTCATCAAAGCATAAGCGAAATGAACTAAGTACTCCCACCGTCCCAAAATAAGCATTTTTAGAATAGTGACAAGTCAAACTTTTTAGATTTTTACTATTAATAGAAAAAAATAAAAAACATTAATCATGTAAATTTGATGTTATTATATTAGCATTAAACGAACTACCATAATATATAACTCTTTTTATTTAAAACATTTTACTTTTATATATATTATCGGTCAAAGTAGCATCTCGGAGACCTTGTTGAGGTCAAAAATACTCCTTCCGATTCCATAATTTTTAATATTTTAAACAAGGTTAAGCTCAAAATTTTATTCTTTTTTTGACTATCAACAATCTTAAAAATTATTCGAAATAAAGGTACTATATAACAACATATATAAATTTATCTTACAAAATACTATAATAAAAGTAAAAATATATTATAATAAAAAATATAATCAATGATGTAATTTAAATACCATGTCATTATCCAAAACGTTAAACCTTATAAAACCGGAGGAAACAGTACAAGTTCTATCATGGGTGATATGGAATCGGGGAACTAGTATAGTTTGGCAGTTCACTACTACCAGGATATATATGCCAAGTTCCCGAGAAAAAACTCTTGGGAAACAGCCTAAATTTCCCTGGGTAAAGCTGTGTTTAGATTCAAAATTTGGATCCAAACTTCAGTCATTTTCGATCACATCAACATGTCATACACATACAGCTTTTCAGTCACATCATCTCCAATTTTAACTAAAATCTAAACTTTGCGCTGAACTAAACACAGTCTAAGGATAGGTATCTCTTGCGGATAGATTTCAAAACCTATGGACGATATGGTAATATAGATCTCTAAACTGTTGTTACAAAGTTGCTCTTGGTTGTACCTGCTTTTAATTGAGTACGGTACGGTATATATGTTGGGTTCGCATTATTTGGTCGCCATTTAATTTGCAGTCAAAAGAGATCGATCGAGGATCATGCCAATCATGCGTGCATGCATCTACATTTCAATTTGCTTTGCTAGGACGATGGAGACCCAGCTTTCGCTATCCGCCTATCCGTTACAAAAACACATTGTTTTGGAAAGTCAAAAACTCCAGAAAAACTTTCAGTATTAATAATACTACCTTTTAAGACATTTAGATTGGATTCATGATCAATTCATAGATATTAATTTGTATACATCTTATTATAATAATATACTGAATATGTATTTCATAGATACTATATATATAATTCGTTGAGATCACTTGTACATATTTTAATTTGCAATATACAAATATAGTGGTCAAAATATGTATTGAAAGAACGTAACACATCGGTAATTTTCCCTCGAAAAAAGAACACATCCGTGTACGTACTCAAAACGACATATTTTCATGAAAAGGGAGCGCAATACGCAGTACTCGTGATACAGCCTACAAGGCGATCGAGTATTAATTTATTTCTGCACGTAATACGAACGTTCGCAGGATGGACGTATGTCAGCTTAATCTGAACGAGTTAATAATATATAATAATTAATTAATTGATGATCACTTCGATTTGTATTTCTACTGACTTCGTCATTACGTCATAGTACGTACTCTCTTGTCCATTCAAATTTTTTCCCCTACTTAGATAGAGGAAGTAACTACAATTTGACAATTTAATCCTTCTATAAAACTTATTCGTGCCCAAAACTTATTTTGAAAATAAACCATGACGGCTCAGCACCAAACTTTATAACATTAACAGTTGCCACGCTGGTGAAGCTGTATGTGGATGTGGCCCATTTACGTATAAGTAGAAAGTGTGCTTAATTTTTCACAGATGAAGTTTCTTAAAAAAAAATTAAATAAATCGAATAAATTTGTTTCTAAAATTTATAATAGCTAATAGTTAATTAATCTTGTGCTAACGGCTCATCTCGTATTCTTGTTTTTTTAAAAAAAAAAGCTCAATCCTCACAAAAGTAATTATTATTTTTTTTCCTATCATTTGATTCATTGTTAAATATACTTTTATGTATACATATATTTTTATATATTTCTCAAAAGTTTTTGAATAAAGCTAATGGTCAAAGATAATTAAAAAAAGTTAACAGCGTTAAATATTTAGGGATGGAAGGGTACTATATAATGGAGTAGTAAACGATCGTAGCCATCCCTCCAAAAAAGAAAAATGAACAAAAAGAGAAAAGCCCGTTTTCTCGGCCCACATGGAATTTCATCGGACGTCTGGGCCTTTCCTTCGCGAAAGATTACATGAAGGCGAGTGGGCTGTTTTATAATTGGGCCCTCCCCGTGGCTGTGTGTTTGCTTACGTGTTGATCAACAGATAGACGAGCTCCTCCCAAAACAAGAATAAGATAGACAAGCATAAACGAATTGATTCTTTTTCCTTTTGAGTTAAAACGAATTTGATCTCTGAGAGGCTAGCAAAGCAGGAGTGAACGAAATCTTTTGTTACCAGTAATAAGAAATTTGTTATTCTTTGATAAGAAATCCATTTAGTTTGTTCTGCGTGAATTGCAACACTAGTGAATAATGCCCCCATTCCATTTACATTTCGTATTCTGGCTCCTGATGAGCCATATTCAGGGAGCTAGAGATCGTAAGAAGTAATTAGCAATGATAGCCAGCGAGAATCTAGCATTGTTAATCTAGAGAGAATTGGAACTAAAAGCTCTCCTAAATAGTGTCTTAGTAACCAAGCCGTGGTTGCCACTTTGCAAAGCTCACTCTCATGGGACGGCCATCCATGATCTGCATGATTTAACATGAAGGTGGATTACAATTAGAAAAATAATAATTATCTCTTCAAATAATATAGTAAGGGAAATATTTGTACAAAAGACCATAACAAATTGTAAATAAGCAGGGTAATAATATGCACTGATCTAGTTGTGGCGCCTCACCTGTCCGTTGAGGGAAGCGATGACATCGTCTGGTTCCCTCAATGTGGCCATGCTCACGAAGCCGAATCCTCTGGACCGCCCGGTTTGTCTGTCACACACGACTTGAGCTACCAAAACTCGGCCATGCTCTCCGAAAAACTTTAGCAGACGAAGGCGATCAACATCCCATCGAAGATTTCCCACGTAGATACTGAAATCTTTCGGTGAAAAACTATGAACAGTCGTTGGAGCTATAGCTAGAGCCGCCTCTGTCAGGATCCACTCTTGTCGCGGCTGCTGCTCTGCAAATTCCACTGCTAACAGGGGATGCAAGTCCAGGAACTGCATGCATGCAGATGCAGGGGTTAATCCAACAAGGTGAAGATTAAAATTATAAGCAGGTGAAAATTCATATATAGCAAGCCAAGATTCTACTGAGTTACTACTGATAATGCAGAATTGATCCAACATGGTGAAACATAAGTATATATGCAGGTAATCATGCAAATGATGAATTTGCAAATGGTGCATTAGTCAGTCATTCAGGCTATATATTTATATCAAGGTAGCTGCTAAAAAGAACTCAAGGTCTGACCCCTCTTTTGTCGAAGGCAGCGACAATATCAGCCGGTTTCTGGACGGTGGTCATTGTTACCACCCCGAAGATTGCGCCGTTGCGGTAGTGAACGTTAGCATCGATCACGTAGCCATGATCGCGGAATTCCCCTCGCAACCAAGAATCTCCACTCGATCCTAGCCTAGCCCGTGGTGTCAGATTGTTCAACTTAATCTTGAAAGTTTTTGGTCGTTCTCCATGCCGAATCAGCCTCTCTCTGATTTCCTGCCAAACGACACAAATGTATTATGGGTCTGTCTAGTTTTTCAAGCATATGAAAATGGGACTATCTATTGAGCTTTCGACAGAATTGTAGTTTCGAATCTTGTAAAATTTTCAACCAATGCATATAGCCCGTTTTAAATGAAATAACTAATAGACAAACATGTCAAAAACTGTAAATCTAGAGGAAAAAATTGTTATAAAATCAACTTTGGTGCACTGTAACTGAGTGTATGAAACTATAAGTTGAACATACAAGAACATGAATCTTGATGCAAGATCATATGGATGAAAAAAGTGAAATATAGGAGCCTTATCGCAAGTAAAATTACAAAACCGTATGAAAACACCATAAATTTATGGTTACATTTTTAGACAACTAGGATTGCGTCGAAATTCATATGTAAACAGTAGAGATATCATTTCCACTCCCCAAGCCCCTCTCCACCCTGACCCCTACCCAAAACCTCCAAACTCTAACCTTCCTACCGCCACATAGTTGCCGAAGAAGAGCTCGCCATCTAGTCACCACCGCATGAAAGTAGTTGTCATCGGTGAGTCACCCCCTCCTATTTCTCCCAAATCCAAAGCTAGGTTAAAGGTAACTAAAATTCAAAGCAATTTTAGTGACCTAAACAAGTTAAGAATTTGCACGTTTGTTATTAGAAAGATGGGTACTCCCTCCGTTTAATATAGTAAATTATTTTAGCTTTATCTTAAGTTAAACTTATCTAACGTTTACCGGGTTTATGGAAAATATACCCAACACCTATAACAATATATATCATTAACAAAATATCTTTGATGGGTAATTTAATAATAAAATTATTCTGATCTTGTAGATGTTGGTGCATGCTGTCATAAACTCGATCGGTCAATGTTTAACAAAATTGACTTAGAAAAAATGATTTCTTTTCTAAAAATAATTAAGAACACGGCCCTCTCCTATTCAAACCAGATGTACACAGCCATTTGGACAAAAACAAAACTAAGGCCCTGTTTAGTTCGTGAAAAGAAAATTTTTGGGTGTCACATCGCATGGTTTACCGGATGTCGGAAGACATTTTCGGACACGAATGAAAAAAAACTAATTTCATAGCTCGCCTATAAACCACGAGACGAATTTATTAAGCCTAATTAATTTATCATTAGCACATGTGGGGTTACTGTAGTACTTATGGCTAATCATGGACTAATTAGGCTCAAAAGATTCGTTATGCGATTTCCATACAAACTGTGCAATTAGTTTTTCTTTTTATCTATGTTTAGTACTTCGCGCATGTGTCCAAAGATTCGATGTGACGTTTTTGGGAAAAAAAATTTGGGAACTAAACAAGTCCTAAGGGGTGTTTAGATCTAGGGGTGTAAAGTTGTGGCGTGTCACATCGGATATTATATATGGTGTCGCATGGGATGTTCGGACACTAATAAAAAAAAACTAATTACAGAATCCGTCAGTAAAACCGTGAGATGAATTTATTAAGCCTAATTAATCTGTCATTGGCAAATGTTTACTGTAACATGACATTGTAAACACGACATTGTTAAATCATGGAGCATTTAGGCTTAAAAGATTCGTCTGGCAAATTAGTCGCAATCTGCGTAATTAGTTTTTTTTTAGCCTATATTTAATATTTTATACAGGTGTTCAAACGTTCGATGTGACATGTTAAAAAATTTTAGGGTGGGATTGCGGAAGGGAGGAAGGAAATAGTTAGGAGTATAAGTTACTTGGGTTGGAGTTGGGGCTACGCTGGAATACTGGGGCAGGAACCACAGTGTTCTCTTGATCATGAAGGTCCATTCGAATGGCAGCTCTGCCATTGGCGTCGCCGCATCGTCGTGGAAGGAGTACTTGTACACGTGGCACACATCCGGCATTGTCCAAATGACAAAGTAGGCGCATCCGCCGCTCACCTCGCCGCCGGCGCCGAACCTGGCGGCGTCGACGGCGAAGCTGGTCGGGCACCCCAGGAACAGCGCGTGCTCACCCAGCAGCCTCCCGCCGTCCGCCGCCCTCACCCACAGATGCGCCAGCTCGTCGCCGTCGCCGGCCGCCGCCGCCGTCCCCAGCGTGTACAGGGACACCGACAGCGCGGCGGCGTCGATCTGGTAGGCGCTGCTCTGCCATGGAATCTCGACGCAGGCGGACATCAGCTTGCCCCGAAACTCGAAGGTGTACGTCGATAGCAGCCGCTTGTACAGGAAGCCATAATCAGGCGGCCATCTTCTTGTCCTGGATTCCACTACTCGGCCGCCGCCGCCGGCGTCGTCGACGAGCACCCTGGCGACGAACGTCTGGTACAGGTCGGCGAACACGACGCCGCCTTGGTGATACGTGGTGCAGCAGCCGTACCCCAAGGCGGAGTAATTCATCCCCTTCGACTCTACCGTCGTCCATGCCGTGTCGCCGGGGCGGAGGATGGCTGCCTCGATCTGGGAGGTGTGCTTGAACCCATCTGAAGTGGCGTACGCCACGATGGTGCCGTCGCCGCAGACGACGCCGTCGATGTAGCAGACGTGGTCATTGTTGCTGGTGCGAGGGAGGCGAGGGAGCCGGCGGACGGTGGCTCCGGTGAGGGGGTCGACGAGCCTGTCGCCGTCGGCGGTGAGGACCCATACCCCGGCGCCGTCCGTGGACGCCAGCCACATGTCGCGGGTGGTCGTCCTCGGGGAGTGCCAGGCGGGCGTCGCGTTGGAGAAGATGGAGCGGAGGTGCGAGCGGGAGAAGCAGCCGGGCCAGCCACGGGCGACGAGCCACGGCAGCAGCGCGGGGCATTGGGGCTCCGCCGCCGGCAACCGGACCATGTCACGCCATGCCGTGCACACGGTGTGGAAGCGGGACAAGTCGACGGCGTCATGGAGTTGGCCGGAGATTTCCCGGAGCAAGTCCGGCGGGAGGTTGGGCCAGCCGCAGCTGGACGAGACGGCATCCATGGACGTCGACCAGATTAGATCAGATCAGATCAGCGGCTAGCGAGCGATCCAATCAACTGTTCATCCATTGGACTGCCCTGTATGATGTATGTATGCAAAAACGTAATTAACGAGGACGTACTACCCTACATGCAACGGAAACCAACGTATGATATGATCGTTTCCTCAGATAATACAGCATAGCCTGATGAAACCTAATACGACACGATTAGAAAAAACAATGCAAAGGTGCAAACAAAACCCAAAAGGAATAATTAAGGCGGGTGAACAAGCCTGATCCAATAAGCAGTTTCCGCAAGAGAAACAGCACAAATGCCACACACACCATGCTCTTCTTTTGCTTAAATAGATAAATGTTAGACAAAACTTTTGGATGCATCGACAAATTGGGGTAGAGGGGCATCATAACAGTAGCCTACGTGCATCAACTCGTGGCCACAACCAACAGTTAACAAGAAAGGAGCAGTAAACAGCAGGCATGAGAAAGGACTTGGGAGGATACAGAACCAAGAATCGCAAGAAAGCTACTATTTGAGGGACTAAACCAGTATCAGACGTGCTATGATGCCTCCGATGCTGTTAAACCCCCACAAAGCCTGCTATCCCATTAAAAGCCTCGGCGCGGTGGTCGCTCCTCTGCAACATTCACTCTCAGCGCACGGCCATCCAAACTCTGTTGAATTCAGATTGGAAAAGTGTGTTACTTGGGTAAGCAAAGTTAAAAGACACAAAAGTTATTGATGGTATGAGTCAATTAGCATCAGTTCACAGCCTCCATGTAACAATGATTACCAGTGGTTGCTTAATCCCAGTTGTAAAGATGTCAGTGAATCGAATATACACTTACCTGTCCATCGAGGGCTGCAATAGCGTCGTCCAATTCTTCCTGTGTCGCCATTGTTACAAAACCAAATCCTCGTGAACGCCCAGTTTCTCTGTCATACACAACTCTGGCGTCGACTACTTTGCCATGCTCGCTGAACAGCTGTACCAACCTAGAGTCATCCACTTGCCAAGGGAGATTGCCCACATAAATCCTGAAAGAAGGCCCAAACTGACGGGGAGGTCTTTCCACCCGAGCGCCTCTAGGAGCTGCCTTGTTTACAGTCAGAAGCCTCCCATCAACATCCTATCCACATTAAAAAGGTTTATCATCAAAGCATGAAATCTGTACATTCTTTACATCATACTACCATACTTTTAAAAATTTAGTAGCAACAGAAGAACAAGTTTTAAGAGGTCTGTCAAAGAAAGTTAAACATAGAAATCACAGCTCTTACAACTTTAGAATTGTTATTCCTCATAGTCATATCAGTCAATAAGGATGACATATGCCTAATATGACCCTCCCTTTCTTTTTCACTTAAACATTATAGTGTACCCTTGAATGAGAAACTAAGAGAAACTATCATGTCCATCCATGATCATTCAGAATGAAACGCCAATACCACAATGCCATAGTTGAAATAAGGAAAACAAATGCAAACTGTTTGAAGCCAGTTACATGCATACTGCAAGTACAGAAATTACTGTGTACACAATGAACATGAGCTGTAACTAACATAGGAAATCAGGTTATCTTGAGCTTCAACAAAATGAAGAAAATGTTGAGGGGAAATAGGGCAATTTAGATAGAGAGAGACTCACGTAGCGATGGAACATCTCCACAGCCTTCTCAGCCTCCTCAACGGTGCTCATGGTGACAAATCCAAATCCACGACTCCGATCTGTTTCTCTGTTGTAGATGACCTGAACACGCGAAAATAGAGGTTCATTTCTGATCAAAAGAACAAAACCATGCATATCCTAATATTTTGTCTAACTGCCTCTATACGGTTCACATAATAAATAAATGAATACCCTAAAGACGGGAAGGTAAATATCAAAGGCATCTTTCATAACACAAGTAGGATGCCCACAGAGATAAATAAGCCACAGCTGCCCATCTTGCAGGTTTTAAATGTGAAACACAAAAATAACTGTAATCCGCAGCCTAACAGTAAAACAGGGACAGTTCTTGTAAACACTAGTATCCTACCAGCCTACCACACAGATGAGCCAGCTAGATTAAAAATTATAATAAGTTTCAACAGAGCAAGTGACCAAGCAGGTAAATGAAAAATAAAAGAAGTGCATTTGCACAGGAGTCCACTGAAGTACTGAACTGAAGTTCAGTGGGTCATTTTAGTTTTGCATATGAAAGAGCGCGGAGAATGGAGAGGGTCACACCTCGGAGACCTCGACGATGCCGGCCTGTTCGAAGAGCTGGGCGAGGCGCTCGCTGTCGATGTCGTAGGGTAGGTTCCCGACGTAGACCTTGGCCTCCTCGGGCGGCTCCACGTACTCGCCGACCTCCTCTACGTCCTCGGCCTCCTCCGCAACTTCCGCGGAGGCCTCGACGGCTTCCTCCTCCACCTCCTCATCCGCCTCCGCCTCCTCCTCGGCCTCCGGCGCGTACCCCTCCTCTTCCTGGTCAGACTCCTCCGGCACGTCGGACTCCTCGGCGGCACCTGGCTCAGCGAAGTCGAGCGCGGCGGCGGAGGAGGACGAAGCGGATTCGAAGGAGTCGGACGCGGCGAGCGGCGCGAGCGGGAGGCGGCGGGTGGAGCGGAGGTGGAGGTGGAGGCGGAGGCGCGGGGTGGACGGGGAGAGGAGGAGGAGGAATGGGGCGGAGGAGGGGGAGGGCTTGGGGAGGAAGGCGTCGGTGGCGGCGAGGGAGCGGAGGGACATGGCGATGGAGGAGGCCATGGTTGGGAATGGAATGGAAGAGAATCGAAGGAAGGGGATAAGAGGCGACGATTTTGGGGGGAGGAGAAGGTTGGTTGGGTTGGGTTCATGAATCATGATATTTCCTTCTTCTCCTTTCGCTTTCCTTATCCCAAGTCCATGGGCCCAAATCACGGCCCATATAGGAGTACGTGCATAGCCATCTGGGCCGTACATATTTTAAAATAAATCGACAAAAGTGAAATTAAGCTTTGTTTATATAATAATGTTGTGACTTGCCTGTAATTAGAATAGGGATTAAATTTTATACTCTTACCACTGGATCACTGATTAGCATGACAGTTCAACCATGCCATTGCTCCAAAAAAAAAAAGAAAAAGAAAATAAGAGTCTCACAAGCTATTGGCAGTGAAGTGATATAATGAAGTAAATTATATTTAAATTAAAATAGTATTCTGCTAAGTCATCAGACTAGGCTTGCATTGCCTACACAACCACTTTGTAAAATAAAAAGGTTTACAGTGGCCTGCCCTTCCCCTAAGAGGTTAATAGTATCTCCCGGCTCTGAAACTAATCCAAGGGCTAGCTTTGCGGTACTGTACATTCATCTGTCATTTCCCCTGCGGGCAACACAATTGTACAAAGTTTCCTCAGTCGAGTTCAATTCCCAGAAGTTGAGTTGAATGAAAATCATCTTGGTTCAGAAAGATACCTGTCCTGAAAATTATTAGGTAGAAATAACAGGCCTTGGAGGAGGGGGAGGAAGAGGCATCCTTGAAGGCGCATCTGCAGCCAGATCACTGAACACCACAACACAATAGGAAAATGAATCAGAATTCAGAACCAAAAGAACATTCCTAGCAGGTAGCAACAGGTGAAACCAGCTATTTGTATCTTCAGTTCCTGTCAGATATGCTACAAACCTGATCCTCTTGCTGATTATGGCTGCGTACTGGCTCGGTATCTTCTTCAGCGCTTCTAAAGCAAATTGTTCCTCCTTCTCGGTTTCAGGCATTTCTCTTGACATTATTATTTTGGTGAAATCAACAAACTGCGAAGACAAAACTAGCTTAATTATGAGCAAATCCTCCCATATAAATCAATGTTGTGATGCCCAACAAACACCTGGAAATTGTCAAACAGCTGTCGATCCTCCTGACAGTGCATCAGCTGCTCATCCCATGGACCATCGCCCACTCCGACAAGCACGATAGAAAGAGGGAAATGAGTGCATAGCATAAGTACACATTTTCCTTACTCAAATTCAAGTATAGCTATATATTTTAAAAGAATAGTAAGTTGCACCTTATGTTTTTTTTTTCGCCGGGCTGGCGGAAGCCAGCCGAAGTTTATTAATATAGGGAAAAAAGTTGCACCTTATGTTCAGTCAGTACTTTTAGATAGAATTCAGAAACATCTAATCTAATTAGTGTTGCCACTATGTACCTCGCCTGAACAAGAGCCTGTAGAGTCCTTTCTTCCAGGTAGTTCTCATCCCGATTGTTCGCAGAGTTAGCACCACAACATCTTGGAACCTGAGGTAGCATGAGCAAAATACATGGATTAAAAAAAAACTAGTGGAACAGGTAAGGTGTCAATAAGATTCTGGAAGAACGGCAACTTCTTTTCAGAAGTTCAGAGAAAAAGGCACACCTGCCCATCAGCTATTATCAGTAGGATGTGATACTGGTAGCCGGAGTCCTGAGTTATTCTCATTGCAGTTTCTATTATTGGAGCTAAAGATGTCGGACCTAAACCACAACTCACCAGTTATCTTTCTGAAGAAGAGAGATGAATTCATCGTTCATCCTTCGCAAGAATGAACTCGTCGGTCACAATATAGATACCTGACAGCCGGACACGTGGCGCAATTTCTCTGTATCCCCTTAGAACTTCAGAAACACCATTGCAATACTGTCGCCTGCCCGAGTAGAAGCTGAAGACATTTTGGTCGTGCGTCGATGCTGAAAATCACTTCATTTCTGAACAGAGAAATGCAGATTGCAGAGAGAAAGAACTAGAAGACGATGGAGAAGCTTTTGCTTACTGTCCCCAAATCCAAAACATGGGATCCTGTTGTCTTCGTCGAACGTCGATAAGGTCTTGCCGATGATACTAATCGCTTGCTCGTACGGGTTGAGGGAGTCCTCTGAAATGTGATGCAGGCTTCTCCCGTTGAAACAATGTTTCCCTGAAAATTTCCACCCGCTGATTAAACCATGACGTGAGGCAACACTGCAACAATGAGAAATCTCGATTCTTGGAAGCTAAAAATATATGCCTGTCCACTCATTGCTTTTGGTGAAATCCACTCCAATGATAATATTGGACGACTCGAGACCGACCTTTTCAAGAGCTTCCTTAACCTGCATGGATGAATCATGCAAAGATAACTCAACAATACACTTCTGAGTAACTGGATGATAAATTGGCAAATCATGCAAAAAGTTCAGTTCAAGAACTACTCATACAGGCTGCAACTGACCTGATCCAAGGTATCATATCTCTGCGAATCCCAGGAGTTGTTGATCCTCAGGTTGCCGATCTCATCTCTATTCAGGCGTACAGTCCAAGAATAAATGGTCCAGAACAGCAGCAAGAAAGTAGAAAAGAACATGCCGATTCTCGAAGAAAGAAGAAGACTGTGAAGAAAGAGCTCAGCACGAAGATGAAGGCGTTTCACAGTAGCATGGTGAGCCTATATACAGTAACGAAGGAAGCGAATCAGCTGAAGCGAAGGCGAGCGATTGGTCGTCAGGAAGCTTCAGAGCAACAACTCTGTTGATTTAAAATTTTAGATAAAAGAATATGGCAAGAACGCGCAAGGGTTGTCGCTGTGTACGCTGAAACGAGTAGATGGTGGTTGCCGTGAAAATACTAGGCTCAGGCTGTTTTACAATGCTTGATTGCTTGATGCATTTTTCATTCTTTCAGTCTTCAGACAAAGTGCAGCTGTTTTGCTAGCACTGACTAATTGAGTAGTACTACTGTAATCTCTTGCTCTCGCACCACGTACTAATTAAGTATAAAAACGGTAGTGGCAGGCAAGAAGGGCAGCGAATTCTTGGAGTTCTTCTTAATTGACTCGTGAGTTCATACCTGAAAGAAAAGAAAAGTGGCATGGCTAGTGGAATATGCTTTGGTGTTGTGGTTGGCTGGCTAGTGTAGTGGCATGGGATTTATCTAGCATAGAATTCAGTTAAGAGCAATACTAAAATATGGTATCCATGTAGTAACATATGATTAAAATATCACCGAGTTGCATGATGCCATAAGCGTAGCATTTGCCTTGACGGGGAGAAGAGGAAGAAAAGAAAAAAAGCAATCCGCGTTCAGTGAAAGTGAGACGGCCTGCAGGACGACGACTTGACCTGACGAGCCGGATGCTACAGTCATGTGGCGAGCACTAGACCAGCAGCTCAGAATCTTGTTCTATTTTCCCGCAATTACCTGCCCGGAATGTAATAACTTTCTTAATTTCGTAATCGAATTCGCTAAAGAGAAAGCAATATTCTGATGAGTGAGTATGAGAAAACCGTGTAGTAGTCCCCCCAAGATCAATGCCACTCAAATAGTTATGATTTTTTTAAAAAAAATTGATAAAATATATTAATACGTAATATATCACTCTACAAATTTGCAACTTAAAATTCATAGCAACTTGTGAGTATGACAAAACCGCGTAATATTCTTTTCCCCTGAAGATCGATGCAGATATATTTATATAGAAGAGGATATTTATATAGATGTGTGTGTGTGAATGTAATCATATGAACTTCCAAATAGAAGAGATTGCCAAATGAAGGTTGGTATTCCAGACTCTCCTCTCCTCCTTCACATGAAAATAACCATCAGCATCGATCATCCATTTGCGTTGCCTCGATCAGCTCTTAACAATTTGCAAGTTCACTGAGCGCATGCAGTGCTAGACACATACAGATGATCCCCTTTGGTCCTTGTCTGCAAATTTTACTCGCAAGGGACGCCCATCCAAAATCTGCAAGAAGTTATCATCAATTCATCATTCACGGAAGATTATACATCAATCCCATGTGGATTTACGCAGCGAATTAACTAATTAAGCACATACATCATACTGACCTGTCCATTGAGCATGGTGACAACGTCGGCCGGTTCAGCATCCGCTGCGATCGCCATTGTTGCGAATCCAAAACCTCGTGAAAAACGTCCCCTGCTACTTCTCTCGCACATCACCCTCGCATCCGTAACCACTACGAATCCGTCATGCCCATGCCCATGCTTGCTCTTGATCTTGCTCATCAAGAAGCGTCTCAGCCCATGGCTGTCTACCTTCCTCGGCAGATTGCCAACGTGGATCCTCATTAGTTGCACATTAGGCTCAACAACCTGCAGGCCTCTCTCTTTGATTTCCTGCATCGATCAAGCTAGGCTTGGTTAATTAATTAACTCGCAGATTATATATATAGTATCACTGATCATTATTTCTACTAGATGGATCACTTTTGTGCGCGCGGTTGGGTTACCTCGATGGTGGTGGGAGCAAGAGCAATGGCAGGCGGCGGCGGCGACGCGAGCCAGATGCAGCCGTCGCCGCCTTCGCTCCACCACTGGGCTACCGCGCGAGGAAGCAGCTCCACCACCTCCGACGTGGCGTCGCCGAAGCTGTACCTCAACACGCGGCACCGCTCACGCCCCGCCGCCGTCGCCCACGCCCACCTGTGGACGAAGTAGGCGCACCCGCTGCCGCGGCCCACGCCCAGCTGCGCGGCGTCCATGGCGAGGCTGACCGGGCGCCCCAGGAACAGCGCGCGGTCGTCCATGCTCCGGCCGTCCTTCCTCACCCACACCCAGCTGCCGCCGCCCTCCGCCTCCAGCGCGTACACCGACACCGACAACGCGCTCGCCAGCGGCCTGCCGGCGACACGGCAGCCCCGGACGTCGCTGCAGTAGCCGCTGTCGGCGAGGACGAACGCCCAGAGCAGCTCGCCGCGATATTCGAGGAGGTGGCTGGATTGGATCTCCTTGCCTGGCTCTTCTGGCCACCACCGACTCCACTTGCCTTCGCCGGCGGTGGTGGCTGCTCCGGTCGTCACGACGCACCAATAATCCTTACCATTGTGCAGTAGCATCTTGCCGTCGTCGGTATATAGGACACGGCAGACATCCCTCAAGAGGTAGGGGAAGTTGACAATGAGATGCCTATCCATGAGCATCCACGCCTCGTCGCCGGGACGCAGGATTGCGGCGTGGAAGTGGCACCTGTACGCGTGATCGTATTGATCCCAATAGGTTTCACCAAGGGCGTACACAAAGACTGTGCCGTCGCCGGAGACGGAGAAGAAGAAGTGATCGGCCCACGTCTTCATCTCATCTGGGCAGGAGGGCAGAGGGGTGGTGGCGGCGGCTCCTCCGGTCATGATCAGAGGGTAGTAGAGGCTGCAGGGCTCGCCGTCGTAGCCGATCGCCAGCTGGCTCTTGGTTGGAATTCGGATCGGGGCGGCGGCGGGGTGGCGGCTGGACTTGGAGAAGACGCAGCGGGCGGTGCGGTGGCCGGTGGCGTCGCCGGGGGAGAGGAGCCACGGCAGGAAGGTGGGGGGATGGGGCGGGAGCGTGCGGCGCCATGACTTGCAGACGGCGTGGAAGCGGGCGAAGTCGGCGGTGGCGTGGAGGCGGCGCGAGATGTCGGCGAGGAGATCGAACGGGAGGTCCGCCCATGGGGGCACCACCACCACCACGTGCTCTTCTTCTTCACTTGCCTTCGTCAAACCGGCCGATGCGCGGCGGCGCGCGCGCCGTGCGCTGGTCCGTTTCTTTGGTTCGTCGGGCATCGTCGCCGATCGTCGAGTAGCTAGGTTCGATGTGGAGTAGGACAAGTACTCCGTATTTGTTAGGGCGAATGGACTTGGCCCGTGGGCCTTCTCCGAATTTATTTGGTAGGCCCATTACATTTGGTTTGTTTTAAACAAGATATATACTAGATAAATTTACAGTTTAATTTTGGCAAAGACGGTAAGTCTTGTACCAGTTTTACAACCCAACCAGTTGTTAGAAATTACTCCACTTTTGTTTAAAGATGAACTTATTGACAGCTTAACTATAATCCCAACTGCATGATTTTACAATTGCACCGCCGCATCTAACACCCTCGTGAGTTTTTGCACAAGCATTAACAATTTTCCCGAACATCTACACAAATTAAAAAAAATGAAATCTCCTTCTCACGTTTTTTTTTTCCTTTCAAAATGTCGTGTATTTCTTCAATCTGTATAGATATGGCACAACTATATCAGAGGTTCAGATAGCTCCATCTCGTTGGAGGTTTGATCTGCCTCTGTCGGTGGCAATCGCACATAGTTCAGCCCCAACCATTGCCATGGCCAGCACATATACCTATGCCCGTTGCGATTGCTCGAGTCCCTTCTGTTGTCTGATTCTTCGAGCTGCCTATTGATCTCTTCCAGTCTCTCTCGCAGCCTGGTTGATCTCATATCCGCTAGTTTCAATGATTTCTCTGCGGCATCACGTGCCGCCATTGCTGCAGCCGCTGTCTCTTCCTTGAACTTCAGTTTGTTCTCTAGCTCCAGCATTGCCTGTTTAGCTTCGTCTAATTCCTTGTTTAGGGAAGATAGCTGTGCAACAAAGCATAGTTAGAACAAGGACAACTTATCAGCTATCGGTTCTTCTACAAGACAGATCTCAAAAGCCTGTAGTATGAAGAGCAAAAAGGATTCAATGACTCTATCAAGGGCTCCTTAAGATTCTGTACCCTTCACAGTTCATACAGCCACTGCATAGCTAATGGGGAACAGCTACATCTAATGCCAACGCCACCACAGATACCTAGCAAATTTCATCCTTAGGCATCTTTAATTTGTTTTCTTAGACTCAACAATGGAAATAACCAACCTGAACAAACTAAAACCCATTTGGTTTTTAGTATAATCAAGCAATAAGACCACACCTTAACCAAAAATTGGGATAATGAAATCCAGGTGTCATTAATTTCCATGGCCTAACAAAAAACAAGTGTAGAAGCTTTTCATTGATGACAAATTGACAACTGAATGGAGCAGCGCAGCCATAATAATTCTATCATGGATTATTAATCAGAGTATTGATCAGGTTTCACAAACATTGTTACGTCTTGGAAAAGGACACAGCCCCTGCTTAATTCCAAACTCATGTCAGGGTATTAATGATGTTTTCACTAAATGTACAACAGACACATCATTTAGACTCCAATCTCTTCCTTTAGACACATCATTTAAACAGCTGCAATACGACTTGCAGATTATCTCCTTTTCTATATACTGTAACTACATGCTGTCAGCACACCTAAAAGAAGCTGCAACACAGCATATGACAGTCTCATGTTGGCAGACAAAACAAGTTTACCATGCTACGATTAATATGCACTGAGTTATCTCTTTCATAGTGCAACTTATGAAAACATGCAAGATTATGATCGTATGAAGCATGTTTGTAACAAAGTACCTGAGTTTCAAACTCTTGCTCAATTGCTTTACCAGCTTCAGCTTCTTCCTCTGCTGCCATCTTCCATCTTTTGATCTCCTCTTCAGCAGCTGTTACATCCATCATCAGACCCTCAACCTTAAGAGTGTACATAACACGTTTAGTCGTTGGCATACAAGCATCAGTGTAAAATAACTCGGAAAAGAAAGGTGTGATAACTATTAAACCTAAAAAAATCAGTAGTAGAAAATTACACTTTCATTTGCCACCCTTTCCTTCTCTTCAAGATGCTTTATTTGCTTCCGTAGCTGGGCAATCTCTTTTTCTTGCCCTTCCAGTCTTGTCCGAAGTAGACCAGACTCCGCCCTTGAAACAAGCAAAGCACACAATTAGGATAAGTTTAAAAAATAATTATATAGAATCAGTGCACGGGCTGGAACAAAATCAGGATATTTTGAAGAAGAAAAATGCACTAGGTGATAAGTGATAGCATTTAGCACATTGCAGCTCAGTTGTCCATATCGAGATGTCAAGAGTGTTGCATTTCCCAATGTTTCATTGTAAATCGTAGATATTATTGTTTCTTACACAGAACTTCAAAAGACAAATGCTTCAGACCACATGTCTAATTGACAGCAAGTGTGTCTTGGTCTTTTAAAATTCTTTGTTGCCATGTAGTTCAACAGGCAGCGAAAGTGACAACACAATAAAGGAAACACACAGTTCTAGTGAGTTTCCTGCTACCCTTCAAACTAAACTTATGGTACACTGGGAGTAAACAGAACAAAAATTCGTCAGTGGAGATAGCTACCTTAGTGCTTCAACAAGATGTTGCAGCTCAACAATCTTAACTTGGGACTCCTTCATGCTATTCTCCAATTCCCCTGCCTGCAGCATTGAGTGCATGATAGATAATTTAGTTGTACCGTATTAAGTGGTCCATGAACCTGCAACATTATAGCATTACAAAGATCTTACTAGGGTATAGACTTCATCTTTCTCCATGCTCCCTGGCCTGTGCTCCCTGCGCTCTTTGAGCCCAACCTCAATTCCGGCCTCCCTTAGTCCATCCTCAGCAACCTTGAGCACCTCGCTGGTGTTTGATTGCAGCGCGCTGCGGAGCAACACCCCAATGTGCTCTTTCTCCCGCAATAGCTCATCCACCCTCGCTTCCAAATCCCTCACTTTGCTTTCCTTTTTATCAACCCATGCCCCAACCTTGTGCAGGGCAGTGGTAGCGAGATCGTACGCCATCTTGGTCCCTTCCAGGGACACCTTGAGGCTCTCCTCCACGTCGGTCTCCTTCCAGACGAACACCGAGTCAGAGAGCGCGCTCGCGGCATCCGCGTCCACTAGCTTGACCACCTCACGTATCTCGTCGTACACCTTGGAGGCGCAGGCGATCTGGTCGGCGAGCACGGGCCTCTGCGCGTCCAGCTTGGTCTCCAGGAAGGCGAGGTTGTTCCGGAGGTCCGAGATCTCGGCGTCCTTGTCGGAGAGGGACTTGGAGAGGGAGTCGCAGTGGGCGGACCTGGACGCGAGGGACGCCTCGAGCTCGGAGACCTCGATGGCGATCTGGTAGTTGCGGTGCTCCATCTGCTCGCGCGCCCTGTCGCGGTCGCGGTTGGCGGCGTCGATCTGGGAGAGGAGGTCATCGACGATGTCGTTGGCGCGCTTGAGGACGCCGTAGGCGATGGCGGGGAGGCCGGAGGAGTACTTTTGGGAAGTGGGGAGCGGCGCGGGCGAGGCGGCGGCGGAGGGGGAGGCCTTGGCGGAGATCCTCTCGAAGCCGGAAGTGAGCATGGAGGAGGCGGTGGAGGCCTCGGTCTTGAGGTCGTCGTGCTTGCGGAGGACGTTCTGCGCTAAGGCCTTGACGCGTTCGGAGCGCTTCTCGGCCTCGGCGAGGGATTCCTCGGCCTTGCGGCGGAGGCGGCGCTCCTCCTCCAGCTCGGCGGCCAGGTCGTGCAGGCGCTGCGCCTGCGCATGGGGTTGGGGTTGGGGTTGTGAAGGAGATGGGGATTTTTGGGAGGAGGAGGTGGAGGGAGGGGGCGGGGGCGGGAGAGGGTCCTCCTCGTCGACGTCGGAGAGGACGGCGTCGCCGTCGTCGGCCATGGGGGGAATCGAAGAGGGAAGCTTAGCTGGGTTTGGGTTTCGTCGGCCTCGCCGTCGCCGGTTGGGAGTTTGGACCGATGCGATGCGATGCGATTCGGTTGCGACGGCGACGCGGCGGAACACAAGCCTTCGAGGAGTGGGTTACTTCATCACTTGTTGGGTAGTATAACGTGGCTCGGGTGGGATAATAACATAACAACTCCTGTTTGTCTGCCGATTCGTTGAAATTTATCGAATTCGCTCAAATCTTTAACAACGCCTAAATTTTCCATTTAAAATCCTCTGTGTTATCTGTCTACCATGTGCTACGTACATCAATACCACGTGTCTGTATTACAAAAGATAATAGGGTTATGGCTTGTTTGGTAACTCGAGAGAAGGGGATTGGGAGTTTACACGAGAGAATTGACGGTGAAATTAATATGAGAATTTGATTTTTAGTTTAGTCAGAGATTAGGTCATTAATAAAAACGGATGGCTGAGATTTGTTTACACAAATTAAAGGAGGAATTACCTCTCAATTACCTCCTCCTACCCAGGTATTGAAAAGAAGGGAGTTCCTTCCTCAGTTCCCCATCCCCATCCTACCAAAATTCACATGTGTCCCAACCAAACAAAACAGTTAATAGCCTCATCCTTCTAAACTCCCAAGTCCCAATCTCTCCTAAAAACTCCCTCCAACCAAATAGGCCGTTAGAGTTTGGGCTTATATGATTGCGACGGCGACATGGCTCAACAAAGGCCACCCTCGAGTCTTCAACGGTGGGTTACTTCACTTGGGTATAACGCGGGTCGGGTGGGTTAACAACTCACTATCTGCTCTATCTCCAATTAAAAATGTTGTTCAAAGCCTTTAATGGCCAATTCACTAAAACTTATCCTTTTGCATCTACGATTCAAATGGGTTCAATTTATGCACCATCGATATGTCGTGTACTCACATGAATACATGAATATTGTATGTTTCTATTGACAAAGAGAATATATTTGAGTAGAGAAACAACTAATCTAATTGTATATTTATTCATTATGTTGATACTTGTTTTTTTTCAATTGTACGGTAAATAAGTTATATTTTTTTTCTTATCTAGCTTCACAAACTCCATGACAAAAATAACAGTGTATCCAATTATACTCTTGATATAAGATGGTTTGATACTACTCGGACTTGATGTGTCTAATACATATATTGTATATAGAACATGGTTGCACAAAGCATCTGAATCCCTACCCACAAAACAACGTAACATGGCAAACTATATCTTACGTGAAATCTCCATCAACTTGGATAGTTTCAATTTCTATCGGCTATGATATCACTGGTCATTTAGCCATTTCCACCCATTGAGGACTTTAAAGGGCTGTCCTATAGTAGCCATCCCATATAAAGGATATCGAACGCTCTTACAACATTGGACATGCTAAAAATCATGTCTCACAACCAAATCGATCGAGTGTAAGTGGTCGTTAGTGTTTTGTTTGATGATAATATTTTTTTTTAAGGGAAAGTTTGCCATGAGAAACTTTTTATCAATGTTGCCAAATTGTTACCATCCAAGTGTTATTCATAGGAATAACAAAAGTCCCATGAACTCCCAAGAAAACCCCCAAATTTAAGAGTATGCCTTTGAATTTTTATTATATGGTATTATGTATTGAAGGAAAATTAATAGTAAAATCTAGAGAAATGGTAAAATAAACATATAGTCTTGTGTCTTATAGCACATATTACATTCTTTTGAGAAACCCAACACAAATAGTACACACCACATAAACCATTTTCTTTGGGGTTTTATCATCTCCCACTCCGTCGTAAACATTTTTATTCAGAATTCTAATGTTTTATTTATTGCGTCGAGAAATTAATTCTAGTATATAACTTAATTAATAAGTCTTCCCCACATGATTTCAAAACTAAATGGAAAATATAGAAGGGAAATGGTAAATTTCACTTTGTGCCAACCTTTATTATGGATGTTTTGTTTTGTACTGTTCTTTAACCAAAGCTTTTACTTTTATACCGGGTATTTTTACCTTTGTAACACTTTGGACCACCATTAACTTTTTATCCATCTACATCCAACTTATCATATGCTAAAAAAAATAGTATTACATATAGCTATGAGAGTTCGTGTAGCTATCTATAGAAGTTTGAAGCCCTACCAAATATAGCCTTCATTGACGAGTAGGAGCCGACATACTCGAGATCGTTCATATGTTTTAGAAGAGAGTCATATGGTCCATAGTAAAACAAAGACAAACTCATCCTGTCCAAAGTATAAAAAGATTAGTAAAAAAGTGATACAAAGTAAATCATCGCTCGCTAATTAAATGTGATAAAAGTAAATTTTAATCAAAAGCAAAATAAAAAGGTACTACGCCTTTTTTTTTTCTCTACGCCCTCTCCTTCCCTTCTTCTCTCTCACTCCGCCGTCTGTAAAGCCACCTTTGCTTTGTTCGCTTGAGCAGTTCGCTCCTCCTCTCCTCCCCCTCTAAACCCTCCTTCCCCCCCTCTCCGTATTCTACCCAAGGCTAGGGTTCTAGAGTCCAGGAGCGTTGCGCCCGCGATGGCCTCGCCGTCGGCCTTCGCGGCGGTGGCGGCAGCGGTCGTGATGATGGCGGCGGCGGCGGCTGCGCTGTGCTTCTCGGCGGCCGCGGCCGCTTCCCCGGTGGGCGGGCCCCACATGGCTGACCTGAGCGTGCTCCTGCCCCCGCGGATGACCAAGCCCGTCGAGCACCGCCTCATCGGCTTTGACGGCTGCTTCACCTGGTATACGCACTTCCGCAGCTCTCTCGCCCTCTTCTTTCTTATTTTTATTGGTCGCCTGGTGCTTGCTTGTTTGTTTGTTTGATGTTCGCGATGCGCGCGCACATTTCGGTGTTCTTATGGGATGGATCCAAGTGTAGTCGTCTCTGCAGCTAGTGGCAGGTTTTTGTGGCGTCATTTCTTACCGTCGGAATGTGACTGTGGTAGTACCATGGCATTGCTCAGTCAGTTTGATTTATGGTTTGGAACTGGACCTACGCTCTTCATCTCGTTTCGGATAATTAACTGCGTTGCAAGTAATGAGAAGTTAATTGTGCATTTGTGCCCCTTTTTTTTTTGCTTGCTGTAACCTGAAATCGCTGTTGATGAGTTAGAAGTGACTGCGGTAAAGAAAATGCCATGCCCACCTTCACATTATCTATGCTTTGTTGCTTCACCCTTGGTCCATGGATTTCGATCAGGGGGCGGTTGCCTGCCACTTGTTTGGAATTTACAGGTCACCTGTGCATGAATTTGTGTTATTTGTTTTATGGTGAAACAAATAAACTTGAAAAAGATTTCTGCTAATGCTGATGCACCATTGGGTTTTAATTCTTCGTGTATGTCTGCATCTTGCTGCAGAAGGATGTCAGAATTGGGAACTGTTTTGGGACCATGCTACTATGCTTTGACATTGTTGTTTTCTCAGTTTCACAATGTGATGAGGTTAACGTGCTTATTTATTTTCTATATCTACAGGGCATGGGATCACCATGATATTATTTCAGTTAAACCAGAGTACAATGACAGCAGCAGATGCTCAACTAGTGCTCGTTTGGCATCAATTGCTCCTTACAGTGGCAGGAAGGAAACTTCTGTCTATGCCACTGATATTATTAGTGGAATCACAATACATTGCAAAGTTTTTGTTGACAGAATCTCTCGGATCAGGATTTTCCATCATGCTGTAAAAATTGACCTAGATGAAGTTGCCACCTTGCGTGTTCATGCCTTTGATGATGAAGGTAATTCGTATAGCCTTCCATGTTTGCAAAGAGCTATTTTCCATAGTTTATTTCTTTAAGGTTCTCAGAATATGGATGAGCTCTTGTTATAGAAAATTCCATTAGGCCTCCCACCTCCACTAACTCGTACTTGTTACTTTGATACTGCTTGAATATGTCAATCTAGCTCGTGCTATGCTTATGGACCATCACTGTTCTTACTGTTTGCCGTAAACTTCCACATATTCATGAATTTCAATGTGCACAAATTGGAATTCCTGATTCCATCACCTGTCCGTTACCTTTTTCTTACGTTGGTTCTCAACTGTAACCTATTCTATTCTTGGTCTAGAAACTTTCTACTGAAACAATCAATAGCATAGTTTCTCTAGTCTCTAGTACTTCATTGGGTCAGCTATTCTAATAGCTGTAGAATCCTCTTCTCTTGTTGTAACTTAGTTTGTTTCCTTTTGGTTCAGACAATGTGTTCTCATCATTGGTGGGGTTACAATTCCTGTGGCAGCTTACCCCGAGGTGGGTTGATACTAATAGCCATCATCTGGTTCATATTCCATTGAAAGAAACACATTTAAGTGACTGCAGTGGCTTTTGTGGTGATATGAATATACGATTTGAGCTTGAAGACAGGGTATGTATATCTGTTATTAAATATGGCCTCATTTTTCATTAACTTTACCGATAAGCAGTTACATGAAAATGCATACTCTTTTATGATACCTCTCGCAGAATCTTGGTTCAGATTTATTTGTGGTCAAGGGCATTGAGATTGGCCAAGAGGTTGTTAATGCCCAGTTATTTGAACCTCAGTTTGAACATGTGAATGATACAATCACTTTAACTGTTGCTGAAGCTATGTCACTAGAGCCCCCTTCACCAGTCCTTGTGACCGTCGGTGCTATGGTAAAGTTCAAACTCAAGGTTTTTCGACAAAAAGTTCCCCAAGGTACTTCAAACAAATTGAGTCTTGTTCATAAGACATTCTCTAAGTATAGAAACCAAACTTTAGCCAGAGTTCATGCAACAGAAAGTTAAACTTCAGCTTCAGGTGACCCATGTCATATATTGAAGCAATATAAAAAAAGAGAAGCACAACTAGCAAATTATGCTATGCTTTACAGTGAAACGGTTTAGAAAAACCATATGGAGTTCTTATTTGTTATTCTCACTATTAGAATCTATCTACCTGCAATTCCTTTATTTCAGCCTGCAGCTGAAAGCTAACAAATCCTCTCCCTTTATTCCTTTTCACCAGTTGTTAACTTACCATCACAGCATCATCATTGGCATGTGACAAACTCTTCTGTGGCCCAAGTGGATAGTTCCTTGGGTGTCTTACATGCTTTGAGTTTGGGATTTACTAATATTGTTGTTGAAGACACAAGGGTTTCTGGCCATGCACAAGTATCATCTCTACATGTTGTTATTCCACAAGCACTCTTCCTTTATCTAGTTCCGGTTGTGGACGACTCTGCTCATTTTCATGGGATAACAAGTATTCCATCTTCAGAAGTTTGGTATGTCTTTCCTGGACGAAAATATGTGGTCCTTGCTAAAGCTTTTGCTGAGGGATTTGATTTCAAGGAGATGTTTATTACTGAGGTATCATTCGTCCGATGTATTTGGTTTCTTGTCTTTGTTACTTATATCTTCTGATGCATCATGTAACATGTAATGTTGGAACTTGGAACAAAATATTTACACATATTTTCAAGCATCACAAAAACCAAAAGAACAAAATTTACACATCGATTCATTTGAATATGCATACAGTGCTGTGTTGCAGTGATTACCTTCATATCTTTCAACCACACCTTTTTACATTAAGTTTTGTATCTATACTATTTGTCTTTAGATCCATTCATCTCTACACTGGCATGTGAATCCATGTTAAGGTGCCCATGCATGGTACATGCTCCTGCTGCATATACACTCTTACACAGCTTTATTCACTTGGTTGTTCTATGACATAAAAAAGTAAGCTATGGATGTGGGTAAATTCCCCTATCTTGATAAAATGAAACTAACTTCTATATTGAATGTTAAAGCACTTTGATTATGGGTCTAATGTTTCTTCATGTAGACGTTGTTATCTACATGGAATCCTATTCTATTTATTTAATCTAATTTTCTTGGTAGGAAAATGAGCTTAAATTGGCGAGCAGTACTGTGGAGTTCTGGAACTTATCACAGGTTCCAGACAGTTCTGCAGGTTCCTACGAAGTGCAAACATCTAGATTACTAACTCCAATTTCCAAGGGAAAAGGATACTTAGATGCTTTTTTAACTTACCGAACAGAGGCATCTGGACCAGCAAAGGTACATACTACATTCCATGCTTGTGTCTGCTAGGTCATTTTTTTTGGGGTGGTCTGTACTTGTATGTAATGTTTGTCAGGATGGTATTGGCATTTATAAACCATCATAGTTTGCTGATTGAAGCATTTCATGCTAGGTTCTCAAGCTTCAACAAGAAGTTAATGTATGCAGTAAAGTGAAAGCCATATGGGATGAAGAAATGGATAATTCCAGAACTATCTATCTTCCCTGGGTTCCTGGAGCTTATCAGGAAGTTGAACTGAAGGCAGTTGGAGGTTGATTGTTGTGATGTCTTAATACTCTTAAGTCTTAACCCACCTTTTGATTGTAAATTGAGTTGACTGGTATTATCTTGTGTTCAACTGAAGGTTGTGGCAAGATGCCGGAGGACTACAAGCTATCTTCCTCTGATGAAAGTGTTGCTTCTGTGTCCGACTCACTGATTGTGCGCACAAAAAGGCCTGGTCGAGCTGTCATCAAAGTAGTTTCTGTTTTTGATGCCTTAAATTTTGATGAGGTATGCCACAATCTAATTTCTTGATATCCTTTTGTTGTTCTTCTCTTTCCTGAACTCCTTATCTGTAATCTATTTGATTTGAAAATGTAAGCTGAAGTTTGATGAATAACATGCAAGCACACAACTACCTCTTTTCTGCAAGATTTGAAGAGTGATGCCACTAGCAAGATTATTTAATTATTTCACTTCCCAATATGTAGCACTGAGCTACTTGTGATCTGTTAGGCTTATATTACTTTTAGAACAAAAACTTTAAACTCAAGAAATAATCCTTTTGCCTCTCTTTCCGCTAGTTTTTGTATAATTCACCTGCCTGGGTGATGGATTTTATCTGAAATGCTGTTTTACTAGCAATTATATGTTATACGAGTCTTACAGGAAAGAAAGTGCTTCTTCCATGCAAACATACTGCTATACCTTTAGCCTAAATAAAGTGGAAAACCAATTTTAGTATTAGGTTTATAAATGATGGAAAAAAGATTTTGAAGGAATGCATGATTTTTTATTCATCATGGTATATCCTGATGTGTATATTAAATTTTACCACTTTTCTCTAGTAAAATATTCGCTTGACACCTTTTCTTCTGTTTAACTATCATGCAAGATGAGTCTGATCACATTGAATGGAAATTTGCATCTCGCATGTCAATTCACCTTTGTTGAGTTGCTGTATGTGATGCTACCATGTATTTGCACTATGTCATGTGCAAAAACTCTACACTTGCATATGGTATCAGTATATCACTTATCCACGCACTCACGTGATCAAATCGCTGCTTATTCAAATCTTCTTTTTTTTTTTACCTGTAGTTTCATAATGTGTAGCGTTTTGGTTGATTTAGTAATGCCAAACTTTTGGGCTTTGGCAATACCCATTTGGTTTGTTACCAAAGGACTTGGGAAATTGGGATTGTTGCACCGCTAATCTTGATAGATGCTCATGAAGGTCTGTTATTGGTCTAGGTAGTGTGAAAAGTTTGTTAGGGTTTGGTTACCTACCCTGTAGTTCATGCTCATGCGGGTCCTTTTTTCTTATTTTATTTTTCAAGTCCACTACCTACTGTATTACCTGAACCTTCCATCTGTTTGAATTTCTTTCTCGCTTTTGTCAGCTCATTGGGTTTGCTTGATCACGCAGGTCACTGTTGAAGTATCCACTCCTTCTGCACAGGCTATCTTGCCAAACTTTCCTGTTGAAGTGCCTGTCGGGACACAACTTCAAGCTGCTGTGACGTTGAAAACATCTAATGGTGACTAACATGTCCTGGATTGGCTATTATCTCCCTTATGACATAGATTTAAGTTTAGCAAGTAGCATGCATTCTACAAAATATGATATATGAATGCTAAACTACTTTCCATTGACTCTCCTGATAATAATAACCACCCCCAGCCCCCCACACTCTAACCTACCTTACTAAATCCTCTCATATGTTCTCTCCAACTGAGCCCTCTCATACTATTTTCTCATGGTACTCGAAATTCAAAGAGACTGATATGTTGCTTTGACAACTGAAAAGAAACATATATTTCGTGACAAGAATCATTTGCTATAACTTCTTTCTATGTTTTAACAATTAAACTCATTTTCTTTGTTCTGAAAACTATTTTGTTCATTCCAATAACCATTAGGAGCATTAATATTTCTGCAGGACACCCATTCTCGCGATGTGATTGCCTTAATGCTTTTATAAGGTGGAGCCTACTATCTGAGAATGAATCTTTTGTAGTTGTTGGCACAGCTGATGCTTTGAGCACCGAAACCTTAAAGCATTATGCTGGTTCTTGGGCACAATATGGCAATCCTTGTGCTTGGGTATCTCTAAATGCGTCGGCTGCTGGTCAAGCCACACTAGTTGCAACATTTTCCTTTGATTCAGAGTCCTATTCTGAGATTTTTAGTGGACCTATTTTTCTTAAGTCCACTTCTAAAATATCTGCATACTATCCTCTTGTGGTACTTCAAGCAGGAAGTGGGAACCGATTTGGTGGCTATTGGGTTGACTTATCTAGAATACATAGTGGAATTCAGAATATGGTTAACAATTCTCCCAAAGAGCTGTACTTAGTTCCTGGATCAACCATGGATGTATTTCTCTCTGGAGGGCCGGAACAATGGGATCAACTGGTCGATTTTGTTGAAACTGTTGATGTTATTGGTGAATCAAAAAATTATGTTGTTAGCTCTACTGCTGTACAAAAATTATCCAGTAGGCTATACCGAGTATCCTGCCCAAGCAAAGGGAACTTTGTAAGTACTTTGAATGCAACTTTGCACTTTGATCAATCCAGTCCATTCCTGTCAATAGTTATGTTCACATATGTTTACAATTATGCTGTACAGTATGTTCTTAATTCTAGTTTGTTGCTTCCATATATTTGTTCAATTTGTTGTACTTCTGTAGAAACTGCTGTTCTCACGTGGAAACATGATTGGAAAAGATCATCCTGTGCCTGCTGTAAGCCAATCAGAGTTGGCAGTTGTTTGTGACTTCCCGTCAGCCATAACATTGATCGCGAATGAAAATGGTACTATACTGTCATTTGGATAATTAATATAATTCATAAATTCACATGTCCATGATGATATTATTTTGCTGTCTCCATTCTGTAAAACTTATTAGCTATCATATTTTACACTTGAACAGAAAGCCGACTTGTTATTTTGGAAGCTGCAAGCAGAGCTGAACGTAAGCACAATAGACTGCAAGCATCACCTGTTGTAATCTCAAATGGAAGAAACATGCGTCTAGCTGCTGCTGGTGTACATGGAAATGGAAGATTTTTTGCCAATTCTTCTTCTCTTTGCCTGAGTTGGGAGGTCACTGAATGTGAAGGACTTGCCTACTTGGACGAAGACAAAGACATGTTAGATGACTCATCCTGGGAGAGATTTCTTGTCCTACAGAATTCTACTGGAATGGTCAGTACTCGGTACTGTTTACATCACAGACTGTCCACTCCAAAATTGTTTTGAAATTCTTTTTTTTGCATTATTTTAATGGCCCTATTATTAAATGCTTGTTGTTATCTTCATTTGCAATAATGTGCTCGCACACATGTGCACACACTGATATTGAGATAGGTGTATGAACCGTACTGTTGATTATACGAGCCATTCCATGGTTGTATATCAAAAATCAAAATAGTACAGTGTTTTGAGGAGCCTGGACATTTCATTAAGAATTGTATGCCCTCTTTTGGCTAAAAATCGATCTCTCTTTTAACTATTTCAATTTTTGAACTTTTAGTGCACTGTCCGTGCTACAGTCATTGGCTTTTCTTCAAGAGTGGATGGCCGGACCCGTGAAGAAGAGCACATGTTTCTTCAAAGCGCACGTGATACTCTCACCGATGCTATTCAGTTGCAGGTAATCAGATTTGATTTATTTTGAGCTATTATGCTTCTATGCGTATAGCTTTCATCTTAATCGTTATGGACTTCAAACAGATTGTTTCTTCCTTACGAGTCACTCCGGATTATGTCTTGATAGTTTTTCATCCAGAAGCACAGGTATGTAACTGCAACATTTTATAGTTCCTTTGCATGATCCTACTTATATGCAAATTACCTTATTTGTTTCTGCCTAATTTATTTGTACCAGGAAACCTTAGCTGTTAGTGGTGGAACATGTTTCCTAGATGCCTCTAGCAATGACACGCAGGTGGTGCAAATACTTCAACATCCAGGAAAGGCACTATGTTCTCAGTTGATTCTTGGTGCTAGAGGCTTGGGCACTGCTACAGTTACAATCCAGGACATTGGCCTTTCTCCTAGAGCATTAACTGATTCTTTGGTACTTTCTTCTCAATTTTCTCAATGTTCCACTTTTTACTTATGTGAAACAAGTGCCTTTTATCTGTTCTTATTGCTTGCCATGTTTGGTTTGGTCATAACAGCCGTTGACCTCCCCAGAGCTATGTCCTGTCCTGTCGTCCATCTCATCTTTATTTTATGATTTCTCTTATGATAAGGAAAGCTTTTGGTATATACCTGTTGTCGATGGACACATGAACTCAACAAATTGTATCCTAGTTTCTTAGAAATACAGTTGTACTGATCTTCCTTATAGTCCATTGCACTTAACTGATAATAGCTATTTTTGGTGTTATGCGATATGGCAGGTTCGAGTTGCAAATGTTGACTGGATTAAGATAAACTCAGAAGAGCACATCAGCCTTATGGTATGGAGATATGCTTTCCCTCTCTTGTGATCAGTTTTCTCAGATGCTAAATCTCTGGGTTATTTTTTTCATTATCTTCTTGTTCTGTTTATAGGAAGGAAGCACAGAAGATTTTCATATTTCTGCTGGAACGCAAGATGGACAAGTCTTTAGAGATTCTCAGGTCCCTCCCATGCCTCCATGCTCTTGTATTTCAGATCTTTACACATTAATTGCATGTATTAGTGTTGTCTTTGTATTCCTTATTGTGAAAATTTTATTTTCTTTCCATTTGGTCATCCTTTATGATAATTTCCTGGTAAGTTTCTGTGGAACCTTAGCTGTTGGTAGTGTTGCTATAGTTCCTCTTTGCTCATAAAATCCTGTATTGAATATATACCAAATACACTATCTTAACTCTGTTTCAAGCTATCTTGTCGGTGACAGATTTGTTATCACTAAACACTATATATCCATGACTCCGCCAATTTATGTCTTCTTTGCAGTACAAATACATGGGAATTGAAGTGCATCTTGGTGATGAGACTTTGGAACTTATTAATTCACATGAGTTGCTGGACGGACCAAAATTTTCAGTTAAAGCTGCGAAAATTGGCACAACATCTCTATATGTAAGTTGACAATTTCATGGTGGATATTTGTTTACTTTTAGTGGCTTATTTGGCCTGCATCATTTACTACGTTTACTCTTCAGGTCACTGCTAAGCAATACTCTGGTCAAAGAGTTTTGAGTCAGGTTGTCAAGGTGGAAGTGTACAAACCACTGCAAATACATCCAGAGTATATCTACCTCACACCGGGTGCCTCTTTTGTGGTAACCATTAATATCTTCTGTGTTATGTCAACTATTTGTACTTTTCTCTGATTTTATTACTGTCCTTGTTTTTTTGGGTCCTGAGTTTTTTCTTCCTTGTAGCTTTCTGTAAAAGGTGGTCCAAAAGTTGGAGTTGTCATTGAGTACACAAGTCTTAATGTGGAAACTGTAGAAGTTCAAAATTCTACTGGCAAGCTGTCTGCAAAGACTGTTGGAAACTCTGTAAGTCATACCCATCCAAGGCATTTTCTTGACCATGCTCTAAGTGAACATGCGATTTTTGTTATCATTGTTTCAATTTAATATAAAGTATGCTGCTTACCTGCACTTGCTTTGAAGTACTACATTTGATTCGTGCAATTTTCAAACTTCCGAGTTCAGATCAGTGTACTGACCAGTTGCACCATTAGACTATGCGTGCAGTTGCTTTTTCAAATGAAGGCACCTTCATCTGTGAAGCTTTTGGAAGAGTTGAAGTGGATATCCCTGTGGCTATGATATTGAGTACTCAAAGTGACCGTCTTTGTGTTGGTTGCAGCATGCCCATCTACCCTTCTCTGCCCAAGGTATGTTTAATCCAATAATCCTTTTATTACTATCTTGTGAAGTTCTGCTACGTAACATTACACATGCTGTTCAGGGAGATCTATTTTCCTTTTATGAAACTTGCCAAAGTTACACTTGGGTTATAGAAGATGACAAGGTTAGAATATTCCTCTTGTTGCCTTGTATACTTTTAAATGCTAAGTTCAGAGCACTATGAACTAACAAACTGTTCTACACTAGGTGGCTATGTTTCAATTAGCTAGATCTTGGCAGTATGGACTTGATCAAGGGCTATATTCGGAAGGAAAGAACTATCCATGGTTTTCGAATGGAAGTAGCAATGCTTTTATTAATCATGTGATTGGAAGGTACTACATAGAAGTATTGAATGATATACTGAATTGCCAATTTATTGCCTGTTTGTACATTTTGAAAGTAGCCTAGCCCCTTAACTTTTTGAAAGTAGTGGAGTGTTTCTGTTGAGCCCAATATTCATATTAAAGGGAGCTAAACTAATACTCCGAAGTAGCTGTTTGGGAGAACTCATTATGCATTGCTCAAAGTTACAGTGATTGGTGAAACTTTTTTGGACCTAACGAAGGACTATTTCTATTCTTGGCTTTTAAATAAAAATGAATATTGATTGAGACACTTTAAAAAACACTCTTATGTGGTAAGTTGGGTTAGCTGCAAGAGTCCTAATTAATATTTTTCTTTTGACAGATCTGCTGGGAAAACCAAAATTTCTGTGTCAATTACTTGTGATTTCTTGATGACTGGCAGTTCTGGGTCCATAGCTTACAGTGCATCCAAGACAATTCTTGTTGTGCCAGATCCTCCTCTCGCACTTGGACTTCCTATAACATGGTTATTCCCACCCTTTTATACTACTACGGACCTTTTACCTAGATCAGTTGACCCAGACTCAGATGACCTGGAGAGTACTATTGGATATTCTCTGCTAAGGAACATTGGTAAAAGTGATCTTGTTTTGCAAAATGCTAACATTATTGATGGAAGTAAAATTAGGACTGGAGAAAGCAATGCGATTGATTGCATTCAGGCAAAGGATCACTCAACTGGTAGAACAGAAATTGCATCGTGCCTACGAGTTGCTGAGGTTGGATGCTGGTACTCTAATTACATATATTTCTATTGCAAATAGCATAGCACTAGGCATCCCTATTATCTCTGAGATTGTAATATTATTTATTTTTCCATGTTTTTCTGGACTACATTTCATACACAATGTTTCCCTTGGTATGATTGAAGTCACTTATGACTAAAGGGTACTCAAACGTATGTGACTGGGTAGTTAAAGTAGGCATATAGTTCACCAAAAAAAAAGGAACAGGGATATAGTTGCATGTTGAGTGTATGTGTCAGTTTATCATTTCAATGCATGCGGGAATGCATACTCTAGTAATTTTTTCTGTTTAATATCTAATTGAGGCTGTTTATTAGTTTTGGAAAAGACCACCGTGGCCCTGAAGGATGCCTAAAAATAAGTCGCAGACAAGAATCTCTTTCAAAATTTTTGGGCCATCATTTTATACAGATGTTCTATAATCGCATTGCTCTCTATGTTTCTATGTATTTTAGAAAATAATCCTTGATTCTGTTGTTATCATTATTTTTCAGGTTGCACAAGCACAGATAGCAGCTGCAGAATCATCAATCCATATAGCCTATCTTTCTGTACATGATAAAGTTGAGTTGGATATAAAATACAGTGATGAATTAGGTAATTCACTAACAATTTTATTAGTATCAATGCTTCATTTATTTTATTTTTCATCTAGAAAACTTTACTTCTTCCTGTTTTTATCCTTTCCCTCCAACCAGGTTATACCTTCAGTGAAGCACTTGGAATAGTCCCTGTAAAGATTGAGACGAATCATCCTGATGTCGTGTCAATTCTTATGCCAAAAGAAGGCAATGGTACACATGGTACCCATGAACGTTTTGTGTTACAGGTATGGGCTTGCCCCTCTAATCGAGCTTCAATATTGTTTTGGAAAAAAAGGTCCATTTTTATAACCCTGAACTTTTGCAAAAGTCTGAAAAAAAAAGAGTGAGTCTGGTGGGAAGTTCAGGCTGTAAACTGGGTTTTTAGTGGATCTTAACGCTTTCTCAATTGTAATGATTGCTTTAAAGCTGTGACAAGAATAATCAAGGAATATTTTGGTGAAACTAATTCTGGAAGTTGTAACAAGAATTTGAGTCAATCTTGAGTACGGATAATTTGAGTGAGACTTCCATGCAAAATGTGTTGTGTTTTGTTGTCCTTTGCAGGCAAGAAGTCATGGAACTGCTCTTGTAAGGTTGCAAATCAGCCATATTCCCAAGAAAGCCGATTTCATAATGGTAAAGTGCTAAAGTTCAATGCTACTATCCCAGAGTTCTTTGTCTGGTCCATAATGGCATAATGGGCTCGTAGCTATTTAAACTTGAATGCAGTGTAGCTTATTCTGGCTAGCGCTCCTCAGGTGGAGTTTTTTTTGTGTATGTCTTGTACACAATGTATCAAACTAAACTGTAATAGCATATGCTTTCAGAATCTGGCGGTGACATCATCTAGCAAAACCATATACCGAACTGCCATTTCTTCGGTTGAATGCTCACAATGGAATACAGTTTGTGTTTTGACTAACACATTCCACTATATCAGGTATCTGTTGGTGCACAGATGTATCCCAGGGATGTGGTCCTTCGTTCTGGGCAGCAACTGAACTTCACCATTATTGGAGACCGTACGTCCAGTGAAACCATTTCCATACTACCGGTTATTCGCATCTTTTTTTGTTGTATTGGGAGTTTCGTCTGATGCACCATTTCAGTGTGCATGATTATATTTTAGTTAGTTGTTATCCTTTTATATTCATTGCTGTCCACACATCACGTTTTAGTTAGTAGTACATGATCTTATCTTTTGGAAAAACATGGGTCAAGGGTGATAGTATAGTACTCCCTTCGTTCACAAATGTAAGACGCCCTTTCTGGCTGGTCATATTCAGAAATGTAGGGCCTATTTCAGATTCCAATAAATGAATGGTGTTCCCTCTACCCCTATATACTACTATTCTAACTTCCTTACAAGCATGCCTTAGTGTATGCGCAAAAGAAGACGCACCCTACATTAGAAAACAAAATGGATAGTTCATAGAAAGGCCACACTACCAGAATAGGTAGTTAACTCATACATGTTTTGTAAGAGCAAAGGACATGCATGCTACTATATATTCTATGCTTTGTTTTCTAACCATGGCCTTCCTTTTGTAGGGATGGATGTGCGTGGATCCAGTCAGTGGTTAAGTAGCAATGAAAAAGTTGTGCATATTAATAGAATAACCGGTGAAGCACAAGCACGTGGTGAAGGTATAGCAGAAGGTATGCAACTATGATTATCTTCAATGAGTAGAATACATTACCTAGTGTCATTCCCTCCCGATTCTTATTTTTCAGTGTGATTTCTCCATCTAAACAGTAATATTCAAAGGTCCAAATACAAAACTGCACACAACTGTCACCGTGCTGAAGGTGAACCAGATAGTAGTTAATGCTCCTGCGGAGACGCTGACAAATGCTGCTGGACCACCTGGTGGATACAAGTTCTCTGTAAAATTAAGGTTTGTAATGCTCATATCATTTCACAATATTCCTTCCATATTGTTGTTGATCAATATAGTCAAAGCCAAAGCTACTCTAATATGATAATTTATTAGATATGAACTTCTAGTACACTAGGCTATTACAGTTTTGCAATCCATACATTTAGGCCTATTATACTAGAACTTGGAGCACCAGCAGAGTAGTATTGCTAAGATGGTCTCTATGCCTCATTTTTGGTACTTTCAGATTCAGGTTCACAGCTGGAGATTGTGACCTGAAACTGGTGGTCCTAGATGTGTCTATATAGAAATGGTATTATATAACTTGCAACAGAATATACTTCAGCATACATCAGTTCTTAGCAACATTAGAGAACAGGATGGTGGAGGGAGGCGTATAATTGTAGCAGGAACTGGACAAATAGTCCTGTACTTCCTCCGTCCCAAAATGAAGCCATTTTTGAGGTTGGCACGGGTATTAAGAAAGTAGGTGAGAATGATTGGAGGAAGTGCGTGATTGGTTGAAAAGAGAAAGTAGGTGAAGAAGAATGGTTGTGATTGGTTGAGAGGAGGTAGGTGAAGAAATAGCTTCATTTTGGGACAAGACACTGTGCTAGAAATAGCTACATTTTGGGACGGAGGGAGTATTGAATAGACAAAGTTACTATAATTGTACGTAGTATTTGATACTAAGTCCAATCAGAACATAGCGCTTCTGTAGCTTTTTTTTTTGTCTTGGTATTTGGATACTCATGAATTTACTTATGTTTGATAAAAACTAACCTTTCCCCCCTTGTTGAAAGAAGTGATTCAACTGGACACAGCGCAGACTCCTCTATCAATCACATTAACGTCCCATTTGACTGCAAGGTTGAACCTTCTTTTGTTGGGTATGTTTCCCATCATCGGCTGGTCATACAACTTGCTTTTCCTCTAGATTATTATAGGGATGCATTAAAGTCTCATTCTCCTTTCTCCCTTAGGTTTGTTGAGCCGTGGAGTGATGATGCTGCTAAAAAATCTTACTGCTTATTTCATCCATATTCACCTGCGCAACTGTTGCCTGTTAAGTTAAACCTGAAGGAAGGATTTTTACACATTGTTGTTCATGCAAATCTAAAAGAAGATCCAAAGGTGACAGGATCTGCTCACGCCCTCTTTGTCAAAGGGTTCTACATTAAAGAACCTAGGAAGGTAGCCACCTTCCCACTCCCCATCTCATGTGCATTTCTTTTTGTTCTAACTGATTATTAAAAAGCTGGTTATCTGATGCAGTTAAATCTGACTCCAAGCTGCAACCATAGCATCATCACTATTGGTGGGAATACTGGTAGGATAAAACCCTATTGTGTCCATGAACTTTAGACCTTTGGGCTTTGGCTGTGTTTGTTTCTAATGCTAGAGTTATTATTGCCCTGCTCCAGATGTTGAGTTATTCTGGAATGCTAAAGATTTACTGTCAGCCAGTCGTGTTGATACAAATGGAAGAGGTGTTCCAAGTCAAATTAGTTATCAGGTAAATTGCAACTGACAAGGAAGTATTTTTAGAAATTGATGCTTAACGGTGGTAAACATGTACTGACTCACATGCTTTTGCAGGTTGAAGCACTTAAAAGGCAATCATTCTATGACAAGATCACTATAATTCTTCCAGCCACCGGTATGCTATTCTATCTTTGCCAAAATCCTTGTAATGAGTAGATTACTAGAGTCATGACATTTCTTGGTAGTTTTCAAAAGGAATAAAAGTAGTCGTCTTGGTCTGACCATCATCCTGAACCACCTTTTTGGTGATTGGTAAAACTGAGGTCAAAACCAAGTAAACCTACATTTGAATGCACTGATCCTCCTTAACAGTATATACAATGTGCAATTTAAGTATCACCTCTCCTATGCAAGGTGATTGCAATTCGATCATCACTAACAACATTGTTTTCCTCCACCTACAGGCCAGACTGAAGAAATAGAAGTTATCTATGACACTGGAGAAAGAAGAGAGCCATCGACATCAGGCTTGACAACATTGGCTGCAATCGTGACATGCATTGTTGTTCCAATCGCTACGATTGCGCTCTTCATGAAGTTGCTGGAGAAGAAACCGATCAGAGAGGCACCACCAAGACACGCGACTCCTGCGCCTGCGTCAGCACCAGCAGCCGCGATGGCTGACCCAGCGTCCCCAGCTACTGGTGAGTTGTCACCTCGTACGCCTCAGCCGTTCATGGAGTACGTGAGGAGGACCATCGACGACACGCCCTACTACAAGCGCGACGCCAGGAGGCGATTCAACCCCCAGAACACGTACTGATCAAAGCGCATGCAGCCTGGGTAATCTGTGGCTTTTGTGCCTGCATTTTGCCCAAATGGTAGATATGGTTAGACGGTAGTACGTAGCTGGCAGAGAGACTATAGTAATGTGCTTGGACGTGCATGCCGGAAGATCTACCGATGAGCTTTATGCTGTCATTTTTCTGATGTCGACAGCATCATGTATCTCTCTGTATCATCAATTGGTGATCTGCCGATCCCATTTCCTGTTAAAAAGGAATCGTAGGGAACTCGTGTTGTACAGTTCTCCTAGGTACATTGCCTGTGTTAGGCTTGTAATTGGGGCAGACCGAACGAACAATTGAGTGAGTGATACTGATGGATGCCAAATGTAGGAGGATGTTTAAACCCAGCAATCGTTCTCTTTGGGCATAGTGATACTGATGGTGATCTGTAGGAGGATATTTAAAAATTTTTGAACCCAACAATCGTTCTCTCTGAGCACAGTGATACCGGTGGTGATCTGCCTGTCATTTTAAATACAGTAGTGTGACATTTCAACAAGGATCGACCATCAATCAGAGAGAGGAAGAGGAGGCAACACTGAGTCACATCACGTGATCCCATTCCCAGCCATCGAAACCACATGAGTTGCAGAGTGCTCACATGCTGCAAAACCAACACATTTGTACAGACGTGTACTCCAGTGCGTATCACATAATTCTAGATTAGTGCTTTTGAGGGTTTTCTTACCCACTCTCTTGCAAGTACTCCGATTTTGACTTTTTCTTGCACTGTTTGACCACTCATCTTATTCAAAAAAAATTTAGAATTATTAAAGTACTTTGAATAAATAATAATCCGAAAGTTGTGTTTAAACTACTTTGGATAATAAAGTAAGTCACAAATAAAATAAATAATAATTTCAAAATTTTTTGAATAAGACGAGTGGTCAAACAGTACAAGCAAAAAGTCAAAATCCCTTATATTATGGGACGGAGGGAGTAGTAGAGAACAAGAGCTACTAGTAGAGTCCAAAACACAAGTCATCTTGCAACCCTCGTATGTACTGTATAAGGCCTTGTTTAGATCCCACCTTAAAATTTTCCACCCTGTCACATCGAACGTTTGAACACCTGCATGAAGTATTAAATATAGGCTAAAAAACAACTAATTTCACAGATTGCGACTAATTTGCGACACGCCAAAACTTTACACCCCCTGCATCGATATACTGTATAAATAAAATATATTACTCCTTTTATCATAAAATATAAATGATTTTGGTTGGATAAGGCATATTTTAGTAATGCGTGTCAAATATAAGTGATTTCGGTTGGATGAGACAGTATTACGAACAAGACAGAAAGTTTGTCTAGAATCGTAGTATTAGAATATATCTCATCCAACCAAAATCATTTATATTATATTTTATTTTATAGGATAGGGGGAGTAGTGGAGTAAAATAGAATAAATCCAGATCAAGCTGTTAGGCCTGTGGGCCTTAAGCCATTTGGGCCTTAATATATTTTGGCTCTGGTCGCACAGACTGAACTAGGGAGCGCCGCCGAGTCCCTTCGCCTTCGCCTTCGCCTTCGCCGCCGGAGATGGACGCCGCCGCAGTCGCCGCCTCGCTGGTGCCCTCGTGGAGCGCGGTGCGTCCTCCTTCCTCGTCCTGCATCCATACATCCATCGGAAGCTCCTGGATTGGAATTTTTTTTGGCTCCATTCTCTGCAGGTGTTGGTGCTCTTCTCCTACCTAGGCTACCTCGCCGCCGCCGGCGCCGTCCTCCCCGGCAAGCTCGTCCCCGGAGCCGTCCTCCCGGACTCGTCCCGCCTCCACTACCGCTGCAACGGTACCGCCGCCGCCGCACTAGCCCTGCTACTCTACGCTTTTTCGATGCTGTGCTTTTTAGCCACCTCATGCGTGCGTGCGTGACCCGCGCAGGTTTGCTCTCGCTCCTCCTCTTGCTGGTGCTCTCCGCGCTCGGTGTCTACATGGGATGGATGTCCCCTACGGTGAGCTTGCTTACTCCCTCCCTCCCTCTGCCTCATGTACCAAGCTTTCAGTTGCTCCCTTCCTTGAATTGATCAACATCTCGTTTGCTTATGATTGCAGGTCATTGCTGACCGTGGAATCGAGCTGTTGTCTACAACCTTCATTTTTAGTGTTATTGTAGGTGGCATCACTCATCTGACCTCCCTCCTTTCATATGTACTGTTTGTTAATGAAGTTACAGACTTAAAATTAGGTGCAAATCTGAATAATCTAAGTTTAAGTACCAACTGAACATAACTAATTCAGAAGAAATAAACGGCCATCGACATGTTTGATGTTTTAGCCCCAGTTACTACCTCTATCATTTGGTACAGCTAAAATTTAGCAAAGGAATTAGTCACACTGGATATGTCTAGAATTTGTAAGAAATAACAAAAAAAGATGATACACATAGTGAAATCTTCCTACTAGTTTTGCTGTCAACCAAATTTTGTCAGCACCATTAAACTGTTGGCGTTTAGTGTTCACTAACATATGGTCAAAAAACATTTAAGTTCTTTTCATCGACTCATTTCGTGCTTTTGTATTTCAGGTTACCTTCTTACTGTATTATTCAGGATTAAGGTCCCATCATAAAAGTTCTTCCTTGAAACCGCATATCACTGGGAACTTCATACAAGATTGGTACTTCTAAGAAACTCTATATTTGTATAAAAACCATAATGAGTGAAAATTAACGTCTAGCATCCCTTTTGCACTCGAGATATTTCATCAGTTCTTGCCATTTCAACTTCTAAAATTTACCAATTAGAAGCTTATGTATCTCATTTCAATTAGTCATCTTCAAAAGTTCAGGAAACTATCCTCTGTATTAATCATATAAGTTAATACTGATAATTTTTACATTGATCACTTTGTCTACTAGGTGGTTGGGAGTGCAGCTCAATCCTCATTTCATGGGAGTTGACCTCAAGTATGTCAGCAACGTCTTTGTTTTCTTGCTCCATTTTGGATATGTCGTTCAAATATTTAAATAGCAGCATGATTATTGTGAGAATTGTGCTATTGGCTTGTTGCTTCTGGTGCAAGTATTTATTCCATTTCCTATTGATTTTTATGCCCCAACAGATTGATTAGTTTTGTAATGTTCTCATCGAATTATTTGATGCATACAGTCTATGCACAATGCCAATGTGGTTCAAATGGAACACTTGTTTATTGTGCAGTTGACTAGTTCTAAAAGAGGAAGTAGTGTTGTTGAGCGCATAAGCTCTTCAGGAATGTTAGGGTCTGCTGAAACTTGAGTTTACCCTGTCACAGCTATTTGTTTCGTCCCACCTGATTTAGAATAGTAAGACATGTAGGCTTTTTATTTCTGGGTGGACAAAAGCAAATTATAATTGTACATGAATTTAGATGCGCTGCATAACATTTTCTTTTCTTTTTTAATTCATCATCTACTAAAGTCACGTAACTAATCTGTGGTGAGTTTTGTTAGGGCGAATTTGTGGTGAGTTACTATGAATCCTTGTCAGTGTGATGTATAAAGTAGATATCCATAACCAGCTATTTTCCCTTTTCTCAAGTTGTTCCTATTATTTGTCTTTCAAATGATAAAATAATTGGAGGACTCACTCTTTTCGGGAAAAGAGTTAATTTCTCCAGTGGGATCGTGTTATGATGATTTTTTTTCAAAAAAATATTCACCATGTTTGCAGGTTCTTTTTTGTGAGAGCTGGGATGATGGCATGGTTATTTATCAACCTATCTTTGTTTGCAAAGAGCTACCTAGCTGGTTCAGCCAATCTTTCAGTCATTCTCTACCAATTCTTTTGTGCGGTATTGGACATGGACATTTCTTCTTTTGATCATCATATACTCCATAGTTCATGATACTAGTTATGTTTCTTCATGCAGTGGTATATTGTAGATTACTTCGTTCATGAAGAATTCATGACTTCAACGTAAGTATATCATTTTGTCCTATAATATAAAGATATGTTAATATCAATCCAGTGTGCCTGAATGATCATCTGAAATGCATGTGACGATCAGCAAGGACGGAGTTCATACCTCATTGTTTTTCTGTACAGCTTATTTTTTTTTATTATTTCCAGATGGGACATTATTGCGGAAAGGCTGGGTTTCATGCTGGTCTTTGGTGATCTAGTGTTCATTCCATTTACCTTCACCATTCAGGTGTGTATCCATATATTTTTAGTTCTGCAATTGCTAAGTTTGACCCATGTCACTGTTTCAGTCAGAATTACCATTCATGCATCATATGGCTATATATTCAATTAATTCCAAGCTTTATCACGTTTTCAAGTCAACTAAAAGTATGGATGCCTCTTTTGTTAGTAAGTCAGGTGGTTGACATTCAAGATATTATTTTTTTAACGGTGATGACCAGGGATGGTGGCTTTTGAGAAACAAAGTGGAGCTGTCCCTTTTGGCTGCTGTAGTTAACTGCTTCATTTTCGTTATTGGGTACTCTTCCTATGTTACCAGAACCTGCTTTCGATTATATAATATATGGCCTGTTTATTGCATTCTAATCTCTTTAACAATGGTTTATTCCATTGGGCCCACAGCTATCTTGTGTTCAGAGGAGCCAACAAACAAAAACATATCTTCAAGAAGAACCCTAAAGCTCTTATTTGGGGTAAACCTCCCAAACTTGTCGGGGGGAAGCTACTTGTATCTGGCTACTGGTAAGATGGATATGCATCTTATGGAGCGCGTGCATGTTTTCTCCTTTATTAACTGCTTGGTCCATAATACTGAGTTCTGAAGTGTGTGTTGTTGAATGTTCCAATAGCCTAACATACTAACCTTCTGCTCTAGTCTGCATACCCATTGCCTAAAGATTTAGCTGGTGCTGGTGAGTTGGGACAGAAAAGGAAAAATACTAGTAAAGAAAGTGTGGGTGAGTAGGTAGGCAGCTAACACACAAGTTAGAATTCAGTGTATCTAAATGATGTTTATCACAGCTGCACCAAGTTTGGGTAGTGTACGGCGTACCTATATCGATATTAATCAACAATTTTGTAGTTCTATAAAAGCTTGAATAATTATGTTCGGCTATTTGAACTTTTCACGTCCCTTTCTCGCTTTAGATTAATCATGCTTCTTAAGTACTCTTTACAATGTGAAATAATGAATCCCCTTTTCATCCAATACAGGGGAATTGCAAGGCACTGCAATTATCTTGGGGATATACTGCTAGCTCTTTCATTTAGCTTACCCTGTGGAACCAGGTGATGATGATCGTTCGACACAACTCTCTTATTCAATTTGATTCTCATAAACCCTAAATCATAAACCCTTTTGGTGCAGTTCGGTGATCCCATACTTCTACCCAACATACCTGTTCATTTTGCTGATATGGAGGGAACGAAGGGACGAAGCAAGGTGCTCAGAGAAGTACAAGGAGATCTGGGTAGAATATTGCAAGCTTGTGCCTTGGAGGATCTTTCCTTACGTGTATTAAATCCAAATATTTTGCCTAGCAGTTGCATCGTTGTAGAACCAAGAGCGTTGTTGTGCTATTTGAACATGTAAAATTCACCAAGATTCCTGTTGTTTATTTGTAGCTGACATCCGTGTTGAATATCAATTAACATAGATTTTGTTGAAAAAGAAAGGAACTATGTCTTGCTAGCTAGTTTGATCTTTCTTTTTCCCTACCAGTCTAGCTGGTGAATACTGACCGCATTGAGGGCGGTGAGTGAACCTGCAAAGAGCTGAGGCAATGGCGGCGACTGTAATATTCACGTTGGTTTGGAAAAAAGTGCTTGTTTTTTACATCTCCGGAACCGTACGACGGATTCAGAAATCTCCGGTTGATCATTCTGTTATTCAAAATATACTTATATAGTTATTATTAATTTTACTGAGATTTAATTTATCATTAAAGTTTTATTTAAATATATTTTTTATATTTATATATTTTTTTAATAAAATAAATGATCAAACGTTTATGAAAAGTTAATAGCATCATAGAATTCAGAGCTTTTGTGTTCTTAGAGAGTTTTTTTATTGCTGGGAAAAGACAGAGGCAGCAGCTCTGCCGTTTGTTTTATCCTCTCTTCACTTATATTTAGAGACGAAGGGAGTACTGCGTATCATATATAAGAACCCTTAATTGACTATAGCTCTAGTCCAACTTTGGTCCGTTGATTATGAAACCATTTATTTTTTCCCCAACTCTTAAAGTCGTTAATTTTGATCCTTGATGTCAAACTAAGATGTTTTCTGAGATGATGTGGTGCCATGTAGCATCTTAGTTAGCAATTTAAAATGATTAATTTCTAGGATTAAGGAGAGGAAGAGGAAAAAAATTAGTTTCATGTAGGTTGTAGGATTTTCTTTTTATTATTATTATTATAGTTTCATGCCACTCACCACCGCTAGCTGTACCTCCTCCTATCGCGTCGGTAGCTGGCCCTTGATACCATGACGCCGGAGGCCAATGGAGATCACACCGGCTGTTCTCTCTAAAGGTGTGTGATCTAATGGAAATTTATTATACATGATCTAAGGGTGTGTGATCTAATGGCAAGCTCGTTTGGCCGTTGCGATTGTTCGGTTCCATTTAATGTGGAATGGACGAGCCAACGATGCCAAAACATCTTTCTGATGTAAATTGAGATATTTTAAAGGATTAGGTTCTAAGTGAGTAGTACTTCATCCGTAAAAAGAAAACACAACCTAGATTTAGATAGAATAAAATGTAGGACACCAAATCTAAAGACAAATCTAAAGGGAGAACTATCCAAATTTATTGTTTTATGGTACGTCTCATTTCAATATAGGTTAATTTATTTTTTTTAAGACGAAAAGAGAAGGTTGTAGTTACAAGAGGTGATTTGTGTACATCTGTACTATATTTTGTGTGTGTTGAAACTGTGAAAGAGGAAAGAAAAGAAACGTAGGATTGCACTTGCAAAAACAAATTTGACTTTGGTCGGTGTACCACTGAAAGTAAACTGGAAAAACATAAAAAATCTCCGTGGCGTGTAGCAAGACTAGTAAAAGATGCAACGTCATCATCTTCATCGTTGGGAATGGGATAGTTCATAGTTTAGTGCCCACCTACCCAACCACCGGGAACACCTCATTCTCTTCTCACGCCGGCGCCGCGGCGTCTCGTCTCCTCCCACCGCAACCTTTCTTCTTTTGCTTAGCTTTCACTTACACTACCCCTCGCCGCGCCTCGCCGCGCGACGCGGCCCTTTCCCGCCACCAACCCCTCGCCGCGCCCGCCTCGCCTCCGGAGACCGCCGGAGGATGGAAACCTCGCCCGCGCTGCGCCCCGCCCACATCCCCAGATCCACGGCCGTCCGCCCGCCGTGCGCCACCCCTTTCTCCCGCGCCCACTGGCACGCCACCTGCGCCGCCATCCGCCGAGTCCCGCGGGTGAACGGCGACAGCAACAGTAGCATCAAGCCCGCCCTCGCCGACCACGCCGCGCCGCCGCTCGACCTGGATCTGCTCCCCGTCTCCAACCTCCCTCGCCCGCTCACCATCACCGACCTCTCCCCCGCGCCCATGCACGGCAGCCAGCTGCGCGTCGCCTACCAGGGTGTCCCGGGGGCATACAGCGAGGCGGCGGCGGCGAAGGCCTACCCCTCCTGCGACGCCATCCCCTGCGACCAGTTCGAGGTGGCCTTCCAGGCCGTCGAGCTCTGGATCGCCGACCGCGCCGTCCTCCCCGTCGAGAACTCCCTCGGCGGCAGCATCCACCGCAACTACGACCTCCTCCTCCGCCACCGCCTCCACATCGTCGGCGAGGTCCAGCTCCCCGTCCACCACTGCCTCCTCGCGCTCCCGGGCGTCCGCAGGGACCTCCTCACCCGCGTCATCTCCCACCCGCAGGCGCTCGCCCAGTGCGAGCTCACCCTCAACGCCATGGGCCTCAACGTCGCCCGCGAGGCCTTCGACGACACCGCGGCCGCCGCCGAGCACGTCGCCGCCGCGGGGCTCCGCGACACCGCCGCCATCGCGTCCTCCCGCGCCGCCGAGCTGTACGGGCTCCAGGTGCTCGCGGACGGCATCCAGGACGACGCCGGGAACGTGACGCGGTTCGTGATGCTGGCGCGGGAGCCCATCATCCCGCGAACGGACCGGCCATTCAAGACGAGCATCGTGTTCGCGCACGACAGGGAGGGCACGTCGGTGCTCTTCAAGGTGCTGTCGGCCTTCGCGTTCCGGGACATCAGCCTCACCAAGATCGAGAGCCGCCCACACCGCCACCGCCCCATCCGGCTCGTCGACGACGCCAACGTGGGCACGGCCAAGCACTTCGAGTACATGTTCTACATCGACTTCCAGGCGTCCATGGCGGAGGTCAGGGCGCAGAACGCGCTGTCGGAGATACAGGAGTTCACCTCCTTCCTCCGGGTGCTCGGCAGCTACCCCATGGACATGACGCCATGGGAGTATTCCTCCTCATCGTCACCATCACCGGCGCCCGGCGGCGACACCAGCAGATAATGCTGATCGATCGACAAGACTGATGCTCAAATTCTGTTAGTGACTAATTGCTTCTTTCTCTTCTTTTTTTTTCTGTCAAATTAGAGAAAGGGGAGGAAGACTCTCTTCCTCATGTTTACTTTCGGTTGCGGATGATACTCTGATTAATTAGTCAAAGTTATGCTCGGTGAGGATCGGAGTAGATGAGATGCCATAGCGGAGAGGGGAGACAGCGATCCCATCTCATTACCAGAAATGAATTTTTGTACTCTGAACATTAGAAAAAAGGGAATGAATTAGGATAACTGATGGTTCAACTGGAGTACTAGCTGGCAAATGAATCAATTGATGATTTGCTGTTCTTTGATCTTCCAGCCAGACATAAGAAGGAAACTTGATTTTTCAAATTTGGTTTACAAACAGTCCATTACTCTGGCCGACCCCGGTTTAGTCTCCGTATTACTCCACTATTAGCGTACCTGACTCGGACTCGTAGTCGGATTCAATTCTACTTCCGCCGGCCGCCTGGCTCCATATAACTCCCAAGTCCCAACCGTCAATCTCAGCTCATCGCAACAAATCGATCTGCAGAGATAGGATAGTTGTTTTCAGGTCGATCTGCCCGTCCTCTTCTTCGTGTCAGAGCCGCCGGATTGCAATTTAATTACATCTTGGAAATTACCTACAATGGCTATCCAGGGGCAAATTCCCTTTGTCCAGCGCCTGGCATCCGTGTTTCGCAGCGTCTCAAAATCCTTGGAGAGATTGGGTGCTGCCCCTCCTACCAAATCATTCTGGACCAGGAACTATCTCCTCAAGTTACAAAATAACCTTGACATTGCATGGCAATCGCTCTCTCTAATGGAGCGTACCTTCCATCGTCTTGAAACCAAACAAGCGGACAAGGTTGCATCGCTTGCTGCAATTGCTGCTGCCGCAATTGACGCCGCAAATAGAGATCGTCTTGAATCTAAACAAGTGGACAAGGCTGCTGATAAGGCTTGTGTACATAGCGTGGTTGTCTTCTTAGCCGTCTCTAATGAGAGAGCTGCATATGGTGCCCTGTCAGCTTACAGGAGTTTTCTTGAAATATGCAGGGCAAACATGATTGTTTTTAATGACATTCAGATATCTGTAAATGACAGGCTATTAGATGTCGCAGGAGCCGGGGAAAAGCTGCAGGCCAACATCAGACTTGCATCTGGGATGACGAGGATATTAGCTATTTTTTTGGGACCCTGGATCCAAAGGATCAACGGTGCAGAAGGCATTCCACCCACAATGAGAATCGCTTTTAGTTTTTGCCGTGAGCATATGTGGTCAATTAAAACTTGTGCTGACACTCCGTTTCTCTTGCTGGGATGCGGTGCCTTCAGTCTTCGGAGGCGGCTCAAACTTTCTATGGCTGCGATGCGGTGCCTTCAACTTCAATCTTCGGAGGCGTCTGAAACTTTCTATGACTGGGATGCGTGGGAAGCGTTGCCTTCACTCTGAAGAGGCATCTGAAACTCTTTGTATGCCACGCTAGTTATTACAACCAATGAGAAGTTGCTACTTGTTAGTTGATTTCTGTCTTGTTCTTGTTAATTGCTCGCTGGCATTATCTTATAGTTCATCGCTCTACAAATATAAATAGTTTTTTGTGTTTAAAAATAATAGTTAGGTGCCAGTGTGTTGCAGCGGGTAAAAAATAATACAACAATTTCACATCATGCCGGCTTATTTAAATCATATTTCACTATTTTACAAATACCAATAGCTAAGCCATCCTGATATAAGGAATCGTATATAAAACATGCCGATATAGTATGAGTGTGGATAAGAAAGGTGCAATATTCATTTATAACCGCCGTACCAAAAGAAAAGGACAAAAAAGATAGTACGGAGGACCATGGGTGATGGCACACGCAAAATATCTAGTTCAGCTTAAAAAGGATGTATTTTGGCTGCATTTAAATCTAGGGGTGAAATTTTCTTGTCATGTCACATCGGATATACAGAAACACATTTAAAGTATTAAATATAGTCTATTAAAAAACTAATTACAAAATATGTCTGTAAACTGCGAGACGAATTTATTAAGCCTTATTAATCCGTTATTAGCAAATATTTAGTGTAACACCACATTGTCTCTTGCCTCAGGGAGCGTGGAGGCGAGAGAGCTAGATCTCACGTGAAGGTGACGACAGTGGTGACGGAGCCGGAGCTCGCACGAAGGAGGGGGCAATGGTGGCGGAGCTGGAGCTTGCATGAAGGCGGTGATGAGCTCGTCGTCGTCTCCTAGCATGACACACGGACAACAGCTGCGAAGAAGCCGCCACCACCTTCTCAGCCTAGACTGTCGTTGTCGCATCTCGCACTCGTGCTGGCATCTCGCTCTTGAGAAAGCCGCAAATCTCATCTCCTCCTCGGCCTCCGCCGCAAGGAGCCTGCAGATCTCAAACTCAAGGAGGCAGCCGCTGTCACGCTTCTCTTCCTCGGCCTACACCTCGACGAGACGGTACGTAGGATGCTATCGGGGCTCCTTCTGTGTGGGCAAGCAGCACCGCGGCAGTGTGTTTGCTGTGAGGAGGACGAGGCCTGATAGGGCCAGCCACTAACGTCGTCGCAAGCTTCAGCTATGGCAGGGAGGGGGAGAGAGAGAAAAAGATAGAGAAAGGGGAAAGGGAAAAGTATGATAGGTGGGGCCCACCTATCTTTTAGAAAAAAAATGCTGACTGCAATGCCACATAGGGCCAAAATTATTCCGGATATTGAATATGGACAAGGATGGGTTATTTGTCCGTTTTAAATAGTTGAGGGTGAAAAATGTCTGGTATTCGTGTTCAGGGGGCTGACCATGATAGTTTAGGGGTAATCTAGATTTTTTTTTCATTAGAAAAAATGCATGGCAAAGTGCTTGACAATGGTAAATTTTCTCTTTTTTCTTTCTTAACCCGTTGCAATGCACGGGTATTTTGCTAGTAGAAATAAAAGTTAATATTTTTATATGAAATCTAAGCATGTAGACATAGAATCCAAGAGTTGTATATGAAATCCATACCTTATAGAAATAGAAGCTAAGAGTTATATATGAAATCCAAATATACTTCTACATGTAATAATACTAATAAAAATTAAATTTCATATTTGTGGGCTAAAAGACTTAAGCGCGGCGATTGAATTGTAATCCAAGCTTGGAAAGCTACTCTCTCCCGCCCCCTTTCTTCTCACCATTCTTAGTGGCACAACGCTGGCTGTGATCGGCCCTTGTAATGATGTACTCCCATGTTCACTCTTCTCAATGGAAGATTCAGGTGGGGAAGCTCTCCCCTCCTGTGATTTCTCAAAAAAAAACATATTTTTATATTAACAACGTGAATTATCTAGCTCCGCACAAAGCTGGACGGGCCAATCCCTAGTTTAAGTGACACAAAACTCAAAATCTATGTTCATCGGTACGTGTTTCTCTCATTTATTTTCATGAATACACAAAATGCGTGTCTTTTGTATTAATATCAGGATTTAGATGTTCCACATAGGTTCAACAACTATGTACATGCAAAGAAAAGGAAAAAAGAGCTTGGTTTCCTAAGGCCAATCTCTCGCAACTTCATAGATGACCGCCACTTAAATGGGCACTCCTCCTGCCTCGCGTCAGAGCGCGGCTTCCATGTCCGCAAGCTCCGTCACTTCCCGCATGGTCTTGCTCTTGCCGTTGAACATCCGATTGTTCCAATCCTTTCAGATTGACCAGGCTGCCAAGATGACGATGGTGTCAAAACCTCGCCTTTTAGGCTAGCCGATGTCACCATGGGGAGGAATGATTGTTCTGTTCATTGGGAAATAGTGAGGTTGGCCAATGCTGCTGAAGACCATCCACCAACTAGGAGCGTTTCTTGTCATCGGATTCGGCTCCCCTGTACATCCTGCACAACCTTCATAGGCCAGAACATGAGTAGTAGATTGCAGTATATATAGGAAGACCTCATCACCTCGGTGCTTGTATTTTGTAGCATTATAATTGGTGGTAGGCAACAAGTCCTAACAGGTGCTTGTATTTTCTAGCATTATAAGAAGACAAAACATTGTAAAGAACTACTAATAATCTCCAAAAGAACTGAAAATAATATATTGGCTAGGATCCTGGTGAGTTTAATTCCAATGGCAAATCAGAAGGCATATTTGATTTGATGATTTTTTTTTTGGGGCAAATCCCAAACTGATCGACACAATTGTCTCTCTCATGTCAATGCGATGTGCCGTGTGCGTACGTCACGCGCGAAAATGAGCGGCAAATACGGGCAACGGTGCAGAGCCCTCGCACCACAGTAGCCTGACGGTGAAAGAGCCAGAGCGAAAACCCGGCCGTCTGCTGCCCATCCACGACCAGCTAAATAATTAATCACAGTGCATAATCGTCAACACAGCAAACTTAAAGACACAATCACTGCCTAAAGAGCAGAGTTTTAATCTCTACAACACAAGACACATCATCGATCCCATCTAGCTAGTTTTAGAAATTAATTTGCTGGAAAGATATATAGAGCTGTCTGGCACCAGTAGAAGCATCACACTCCACAACAATCGGGCACAAAAGCAGCAGAAGAAACTAACAGAGCTAACAAGCATATGACTACTTAGGGACACGAAGTATCCTAGCTAGCAATCCAGAAGTTGCACAGTGCTTGCTCGCTGAAGCTATTAGAGCAAGTTTCACGTACAGTACGTAGCCCAATTCGTACTACAAGGGTACATCAGGCCAGTTCACGTTATCAAACCGTAAGTTCAGACGCCTTCGTAGAGAAAATCCACCAAACCCCAACCACACAAACGGGGCGTCGGCGCAAGTTTTAACTGACAAAATCTGCTCACAGCAAAAATTGAAGGCGATCTTCACCGTGGGTGGAATCCCTCGACCGTTGATGGTTTGCATATTGTATCCCATGGAAATGGCCAAGCCTCTTATGGCTGCTGCTGCGGCATTGATTCTGTCTTTCAAGTTGTTTTCTCCTCCTTCGGCATTTGCAATCTTGTGTTGTATAGCCTCTTGCATGCTATCAAAAGCATTCTTGTTCGTTGTGCATCCTTCACGTAAAATTCTACAGGCTCTTAGCACATCATTTGCATTGTTGTCATCAGACCTTGCCACGAAATTAGCCGCTGCATCTTGTTTATCCTGCATTTCTAAAACATGATTAGCAGTGCGAGCAACGTTCTTCACTAGCTCCTGTTCCAGCCGAAGGAATGCACTCTCCATCAAATCCAACGACTGCAGCCCAATGGACAGACCTTCTTGTAACCTCAGCAGATACTTGGTTTGTTGCAAGAACTCCTCGGTAGGAGCTGCTGCTCCCAACCTCTCCAACGACTTTGCGACACTAAGTAACACACACCGCAGACTCTCAACTTCTACAATCTGTCCGTTTACTTCTCTGTGAGAATTGCGCAGAACCAACAGCCATACAAATTGTATTGAGCTCATGCCAGCCGCCAATGAATTTGCTATCTGTAATGACGTACATTAAAAAGAAAATATAAACTATTAATAATTAGTAAAAACAAAAACAAGCAATGTATTACTTACCATAAAGTAATTGGGTGATTTTGGGTCAAATATCCAGGCATACAAAGCCCAGAATGCACTCAATACACCTGCCAACATCGTATTTATAACAATTGGCGTTGTTAAACTGAAGTCTGTACTGTTGCTCTTGGTTATGGTCCACTGAAATTAAAAAACAAATGGGGCGTTAGTAAAGTAAAAAAAAAATTGCATATACTTAAATCATTTTTTATGTACAATGGACACAAAAAAAAATCACTACAGTAGCCACACTAATTACATTACTGAGTGATTTCCCTTGGTAGGAACGAACAGTGAAGTGGATAATGATGCACATGATGAAATATGATACTACAAGGGGTGGGTGCAGCAATTCAAAATTGGATCGCTACTTAGCCTCAAGGACACAAATATCCTATGAAACCTAGCTTGGTTGTCCTGAACTTATTTTGTGCCTGCATAGGTATATACCTACTATTTACTACTGAAAAAAACTATGTTACCAAAATAAATACATGTTCCTCTTATTAAGCAATGATACATTTCCAAAGTTAATTTCAGTGTGAAACTGATACTGAACATGATTTGTTCTCTAACTAACCAAAAGGTTTTAGACTAAACTAACAATTAATGGACACAACAGTAGAATGCGTATGTGTTTCAGACAAGCAACCATACCAGATCAAAAAATGGGAGAAAATTCACCAATCCGAATAGTACTATTCCAGTAATCCCAGCTGATTTGGTGGACTTCTTTAAAATGTCTTGTGTTCTCTCGGACATGATTATGTTAGGGTGCCAAACTAACCATCCCATTCCGCAGCATACCACCAAAGCAAAGAGGATCATGAGGATCCAGTACTATATAAATGTAAAATAAATAAAATTACTATTAGATCAACTTAAAAGAAAACAACTAATTAAAAACATATCGACTTTGTTCCATTTACCTTAATATCCTCTCTCCCATGCAAGAAATACACCAGCAAAATAAACATACTACTCGTGCTGCTTACTGAATTGATCAGTAAAACGTCGTCTCCAGCGTAATTACCGCCGGCATACATTTGAACCATCATATAGATAGTCCAAGTGACAGATGCCACAAGATTACACGCCACGACTTTTGCTGAAAAAATCTGGCGTGTAATAAACCAAGAACCGTATCTCCATCGAACAAAAAACGGCCATAATGAGACTGCTACGCTAAAAATATTAGCTACAATAAGATAAAATAAAATAAATTAAATAGATGCAGAGAAAAAAAATAAAAGGGAGACCGGTTAATAATATTGTAAGCATGCATATTAATCGCCATAAAAGCAATAACTAGTACACGAGACTAGACATGACTTAATTTGAAAACAATCAAATAGAGCAGAAGAGAAATGAATGCATATCATATCTTCCTATATAGTTGATACCCACTAAGAAGCATTTACTCATAAAAATCAAGATATGCAAAAAGCCACATTATCAACAATTTTAAGCCATTGGATCGCATTTGTATAGAGTTATCAGCCGTTGGATCAAGAAGCTAGCTATTCATCTATCTAATTTAATCATTGCTCATCCATTCACCTCCCTTTAGTTCATAATCACGTGTGATATTGTTATCCATTCTACACATCTAAATCCTCAAAGATAATACTAATCTTTATTTTTCTAAATACAACTCCAATTATTACATAAGATGTGAGTTTTGTTTTGTTATAAACAATTAGATAACGTATAATAATTAGGTGTCATTAATTCAAACTTATTTTTGAAACATGCTTGAGATGAAGCAGAGAAATGCTACACTATCTAATTGTGACAATATCTAGATTGTACATGAAAAAACTTTCATATATCATAACAATACACAACGACGTATAAAAAAACATGAATTGTATTGTAATAATAGAAATTATATATAAAGCCACATTATCATCTATTTTTTATATAAAAAAGTGCATCTAATCATTCAAAACATTGATTTTACCAATTGACAGAACCACCCGATTTCTTATAATGATGACAGCATTGACAGCTGGTGAAATTGGAGGAGGTGATGCCAACACTTCAGCCTTGGACACCGTCCTTGCAAATCCAGCCGCCTGAATATATATACACAACACTACGAGTTAATTAATTAGCAATGTGTGAGTTAATTAGCAAGCGTGGGACGAACAATTTATAATTAAGGACTAGCTAGATCTCTCCGATTGATAGGGAAGGGAATGAGAAGACGTACTGTTGAATCGCGATTGGCTCCGACGGCCATCATCAGGACCAGCAAAAGGAACATGAGAACACGGCCTCTTGTGCTCCTTGGACCCATACCTGTGCAAACGAAACGGCAAGCAAAGAAACAATCAAATACGGTACGATAATTTCAAGAGAAAAACACACATTATATATTTAAATAAATGCGCAAATTTCTTGATTGCTGTATCTAGCTAGCTCTTTCCGAATCTATACTAAGATTGAAATGATGAGGACCAGTATTTATAAGGACGTATATATAAAGAATCAAAATTTGCATATTTGCAAGGAAAGGAGGACCGGCCGATTAGTTTATACAGTATATGTTCATCTTAGGATGATACACTAATTAATTACCGATCGAGATCCTAGCTAGGGCGCCTAGGAGTGAGAATGTGAGATAAAAATATGCGCTCAGATCGAGTGATAGATACTCCAGATCGTTTGCATTGCTCTCCCAATATACTGTCCCATTCGACAGGGTCGACGACGAAATTAAATTAATTAAAAGACACCTTTTTTTTCACAAGAGAAATATATTGAAGGCCCAATGAACCCCAACGCATGCACACGTCAAAGCCAACTCGCTGGCTCGCATACTGTTGGTCTGGATCGATGAGATGCAGCTACCTAGCCGATGGAATCTCGCCGCGCGCGCCATTTCCCTAGCCATGGACACAGGCAACATCGATCTATCAGCTCCTTTTGATGATGAATATGGTGGCCTCTCACACCATCCAAAAACTATATAGAGGAGCTGGCATTCGTATGTGCACCAAAACCCCGGTTGGCATCGGACCGAAAATTTGTACTAACCACAAGCCCACAAGACAAGAAAAAAGATGCTCTTTTTATTGAAACATTTTAAAAACTAGTTATTTTGGAACCATGGCTGTCCAATCGATCTCAATGGAAAAACATATATAAGCATGCAGCATGAGCGAGATGTAGAAAAAGCGACATCTCTTTATCCAAATTATTTTCTTTAAGAAAAGAAGCTAGCACACAATAGATCGAGAAACAGATTGTAAAGAAGAGGGAGGCGGATAGAACATGAAAAACATTGCAAGATGTGAGATGCAAGAACATGATGCGTATACAGAACAAGAAGCACTGGGGAGTAGGGAGTGTACCGCTCCGCTCACCACGCTACCAGTGTGCGCGCCGCCGAGAGAGGTCTCGATCAGAGGAAGAAGAGCAGTGTGGCCGCGCCGCCAGAGAGAGTAGAGCGAGGTCTCATAGAAGAAGAAGAGGGAGAAGAAGAAGAGCGAGACAAGAGGAGAGGAGGCCAAAAAGAAAGAATCGCGCTGCCTCTGTCGTCTCTGCCTCTGCCTCTATACTGAGAAGTGAGCAGCTCTGTGCTAGCTTTTTCTTTTTTGCTCTACAGAGAGAGAGAGAGGTTTTGAATCCTATCTATGGTACTGCATTGCATTGGTGCGACTCACTTGAACCTACCTAGGTAGTCTTCCGGTACGTTGCGTACCACGGTGCACCACAGCATTTTTGCCCCCCGTCCGTCCTAGCTAGAGTTGCAAGCAGCACAATATTCTTCTTTTTAACGATCAACCACTGCTACAGAAGCCAGGTGTTCTTCACCAGTGCGTACATCTCGAGAGCAAATATATATACCCTAGTTTTTTATACGGGTGCAAATTAGAAAATGCATACTTACAGGTCCAAAAGTTAATAAAAGAAATGTCATGATCAGTTAAAAGAGGTCATGTACATTTTCAAAGCCCACAAAAAAAATTCAACTTCAAAGTTAATCCTATTTGTGAGAATTCAAGTACATGCAATAGTCACACTAGAGACATACGAAACAATTGTTATGTAGTTCAATTGCACATAAAAATTGCCATTTCTTATCTAACAAATGTGATTTTTTTTTTTACTTTTGAACCTCAAAATCACTACTTAAAAAAATCATTTTCGCTAGCGTTTTATTTTTACAGGCATGCCATAAAATATCCACTTGTAATAATTTTGGAGTTGTAAGCTCACATGTAAAAAATGATTTTTCACCGGCATTCACCTGATTTTTACAAGCCTTTTGTTAGAGACGGTCGCTATATCTGCTTGTATACCCGAATGTAACACTGTGGCACACAAATGATTCGAACCCAACGAGCTTGATGAGGAGATTACAATACATCGGAGAATGAAGAAAAATAAATTGAGGGATAGAGGTGCGAGGCCAGGCGTCTCCCTTTCTGGCTTAGCTGGTTACCCCCAGCTACGACCTGGAGTACTATATATAACCAAAAAAAAAAAAAGAAGATACATGCATGTGAGCGAGCGAGGTCCAAAGTTGTGCTGATGAAGCAAAGCTGTTTTCCCGTTGTAACTGACCGGAGTACATACTCCTATGTACATGTACAATCAACACGTTCGGTCAGGTCAAAGATTGATTGAACAGCGTGCTGCGCAGGAGTAGATCGATCAATATGATCCGTTCTGCCCGTTGGGCAAATTAAAGAACCGTCCCTTACAAATGGAGAGGCGATCGATCCTCAACACACTGAGCAAAAGCTTTTGTTCTTCAGTAATTTGCAGGCTTGCAGCTAGCTAGTTTACGGCATGTATCCTAGCTTGCTTGTTGTTTGGAAAGAAAGTCAAAACAACTTTTCAAACATGCATACATGTTCTAAGACAATTAAGTTCCAGGGAGCCAAAACTATGTGGCAAACTATGTTTGGCTAGAAAGGATCTATCATAGTTTTCTTTTTAAGACTCAGAGAATTTTATTTACATATTATTAATTAAACAATAGAGTATAGTACATTTGAGTGATCTTTCAAAGTTATTTTCGGTGTGACAACATTTGGTATGGTTGTGTTGGTAATGATTTGTTTAATTTATTGCTTTGCATTAAAATTTTGAAATGTTGAAAAGAGCGATAAGTGAAGTACCCCCTCTGTCCCATAATATAAGGTATTTTGACATTTTGCTTGCACTATTTGACCACTCATTTTATTCAAAAAATTTGTGCATATATAAAAAAACGAAAAGTTGTGCTTAAAATACTTTGGATAATAAAGTAAGTCAAAAAAATAAATAATAATTTCTAAATTTTTTTGAATAAGACGAATGGTCAAGCAGTGCAAATAAAATGTCAAAATCTCTTATATTAGGGGATAGAGGATAGAGGGAGTGTATATTTTGGAACCTACTGAAATTTGCATGAAACATGCATGTCAGAGTTTTTTTTTTCTACTTTGATCTCTTCGGTTCAAAATACTTACTTTTAACCTATTTTACAGTCCTCAAAATATTTGTTGACCTACAATTTCGATAGACAGCTTAATTTGGTCTTTTTTTTGGTCTGACGTACCGTACCCCTTCCTTAATTAACTCATAACTAAGTTGTTTATCCATGTATACATGCGCATTTTTGGAATGATTAACTGAACAAAACAGCCATTTTATCTACCTTATTAGTTCTTGTGTCCAACTCTAAAACAAACAAATATTATGGACCAAAGAAAAAAAATTTGTACAAAAAGCACACATAGTTGGGCGCTCCATATTTTATATTTTCTCTCAAAGTATGTATACATCTCGTAATTTAGTTTGACACTAATTGGAAATATTAAATGTATACTAATGATAAAACATATCCATAACCCTAGACTAATTCACGAGACAAATCTATTAAGCCTAATTAATCCATTATTAGCCTATGTGATGATACAGTAAACATGTGCTAAAATTAGGCTTAAAAATTTATCTCGCGAATTAGCTCTCATTTATGTAATTAGTTTTATTATTAGTCTACGTTTAATATTTCTAATTAGTGTCCAAACATCCAATGTGAAAAGTTAGTTCCTGAATCAAATATCACCTTAAGCTTGGAACATGAAAGATGGTTGGACAGTACGTTCATCTCCCTGTTTGTACACCGGCAAAGCTAGGGGAAAAAGAATGGACCTAAACTTTCATACTGGTATGCAGATTAATGCAGCTTTTCCGTTGGTAGGGGTCTCGGGATCCTTCTTTGGGTACAATTGTATTGAATCTTTTGATCCCTTTGTGATCTTTGAACACCACAAATTTGCAGGCATGGCAGAGACTGTGGCTCCGCAACCATACTAGCTAGTAGGCGACCAGTATGCATGTATGTATGTGCTGCATAAAGTTCAACAGCAAAAGCCAAAGAGACGTCGGTGAATTGGAGGCGAGAGAGAGAGAGTACAAGAAGAGCAGTTAGTTCAGTAGGAAGAAGAAGTGGAGCACGAGATCCTGAAAGGGCGTAGAAGATCCAGGCCAAAAAAAAAAAACAGAGAGGACAAAGCGTGTAGACTGCTCGTCTGCTCCTCGCGGTTTCTCGCTATCTTGGTTTTACAGCCGGAACGGAGCATGTTTGGTTGGCTCCGTGAACTTGTCAAACTTCGATGCCATAAGTATGGTTCCATAGTTTCTGTGGTGTTAAAAAGCTAACTATACTTGTGACAATATTTGACAAGAAAATGTTTCTATGAAATGTAAGCACACCGTTTTCTTTTGAAGGCTCATTAATTAATTATGAGCAGTAACATTTTCACCGAAAAATATTTATAGGTAAATTTTTTATATATGTGTTCTTATGACATGAAAGCTAATGCTGAAAAATAAATACACTTGAAAACATCGAAAACAAGTCAAATTAAAAGGCCAATTTTTGGCTGCAAGCGATAAGCGTAAAATCAAGTATTAAAAGAAATCATTCGTTCTAAAACAAGACATATCAAAATATTGTTAATTAGATTTTTTTAATGAAAAATAATTACATGTAAATATATTTTTAACCTTTCACGTGTACAAATTATTTAAAAGACAAAGGATCTTCAATATAATGTCACACACATTTGAGGTAGGAAATACATCTCCTCAAGGGTTCGAGAAAGATATATGGCATAGGCTGGTTATTAATGCTCACCAAGTTTTGGTGAAAAGCTAAAATTCAAGCATTTATAATTAGGTCTATATTAATAATCATGAAAATTTTAGCTTGAGTATTAGTCATACGTAATTGGGTTTGGGCCCTAGGTTAATACTAGTACTTTTGAATTTTGCCGAAGGCATGCACCCAAGGATGGGTTTGTGTGAAGGGCAAATAAAAGCTCTTCCGCAACCAGAATATGGAAGTCGCATCCAGCTGCTGTAAATATATAGAGTAGGAGCAGTCTGTGCTGGCTTACTACTATACTATATAGTACTATATGATGTATGTATGCCTTAAAAAAAAAAGTTGCATGCATGCATGTTCATTTGCAAGCCTCGGCTAGCTCCATTCTTCATGACATCTCACACAAATTAAACAAACATTGTGGAGATGCAAAGCAAAATAAAGCAGCCATGGATCATGCATGCATGAATGCATGATTACCATGGTAATATAATTTAGATACACGATAACTACTTAGGCCCCCTTTAAACACGAGATTGAGAAGACTTATGAATAAGAAAAAGTACGATACTAACATAAATACAAGTTTAGAATAAATAATTACGAAGCATAGAAATAATATTTTGATTAAACCGCGGGAAAAACGTGAGAACTATAGGAGGATAAAAAACATTAAAGAAAAATTTCCATGACATTCTACCTCATGTTAGATTTTCTCCTAAACTTATATGGCATGAGGCATATTATATAAAAATTTCATAGGATTTAATTGTGTCCATTCCTTTATTTAAAGGGTTGTCTAGAAAAATAGTTTCATAGGAATGAAATCCTTAAAATTCCTCTGACATTGCTTTAATCAAATAGGACCTTGCTACAAGTAATTTTAGGGGACATGTAGCCCTGATCGTTTCTCCTACTAAGAGAGGATAAAATTTGGATTATCGTGACACGCTTTTTAAACTGCTAAACGATGTGTTTCGTGCGAAAACTTTCTATATGAAAGTTGTTCTAAAATATCATATTAATCCATTTTTGAAGTTTGTAATAATTAAAACTTAATTAATCACATGTTATTACCACCTCATTTTACGTGAAACACTTAATATTTATCTTCATCTTCATTTTCAGGAGATTCAAACACAAAGACTAATTCTTGTCCTCAATAAAAGCTAAGACTAATTCCATACGTAGGGGTTACTCCCTCCGTCCAAAAAAAAACATTGGTGAGGATAGAACACCACCTAGGATAACAAATCTGGACATCAGAATATCCATATTCGTTGTGATGTCCAGATTTGTTGTTCTAGGTAATGTTCTATCCACACTTAGATTGTTTTTTTTTTGGAACGGAGGAAGTAACTCCTAGCTAGGTTTGACCGAAAACTCGAAAAGCAAGAAAGCAAACACACGTGTCGTCCCACTGAATTAAATCGATCATATATACTACACCCATCACTTAATGTTTGAATTGCACTACCCAAAGTAAAAAAATGGAAGA